AGCGAGTGATGAAATGTAAACAATATGCGCAGTGTTCACTTTTTTGGAGAATGATTTTGCACTTTTCAAAAATTTTGTTCGAAAAAAATGAGTCGATGATGAAACGCGCGTGCTGAACACAAAAAGGAAAATTTAGAAAAAAAACTTTTCGAAAACTCTTTGGCATTGTTAATAAACGACAGGATGATTAAAAGAAAGAATAAATTGCACTAACAAACAATGTCGAATTTTGAACAGTATTCTTTCGTTTGGCATTTGCATTTCAATCAGATCAAGTGCAATGAAGGAATCTAATCAAGATGGTTGATGTTGGATAAATTAGTTTTTAATAATAAACATTATTGAATGGAATTGGATCAATGATCAATGATCAATGACGACTGCTTTGTATTCGTGTGGTTAAACGCTTCAAGCGATTCTGAAAAGTGTTACTAACTCGATTAAGACCAGTACGCGCGGTAAGGTGGGCTGATCCAGCAGATAATGCTGTTTGACTTGCATGACTGATATTTTTACAACTGATATTTTTTGAACTGAAACGATTCAATTTGGGAGCCTGTGTCAAACTGTTTCGACTTCTTGCAGTGGCGATATTTGCTGACATTTTTGATACATTCAATCCGCCCCTCATGCCAGAACGTCCGGTCTTTGCATAGGATGGCTGTGCTTGTTGACGACGACGTTGAGCGACCAATATGCACCACAGTATTATCATCAATATCAATAATAACAATATGATTGCACCTATAATCCAGTAGAAATCTTGAGCAAAAAGAAAATTATTTGATCTGAAAACAAAACAAACAACTCCAAACAACTTACATGATTTGGAAAGAGTTGAGGGAATAATAATGCCAGGACAATTGAAAAACGAATCATAACTACGTTGTTTAAACTCGACTGGCTGACCGCGTTGATTATAAGCACTCTCCGGAAATACATAGATAGATCTATCACTGAATAAGTAAAATTTTTCACCACTCACAAATCCATTCAACACCGGCCATTGCACCGGAGTCCCTGATCCGCATGATCGATCGATCATAATTTTTGTTTTGCTTTGATCGAAGCAGATTTTGAAAAATACATGTTCTAATGGACCTATAGCATTCTTTTTACGTATACTATTGCCAGAACATCCGTAAATTTGAATTTTAAGACCACCGTCGTTATGCCTTACAGAATAAAATTTGCATGGTTGCTGTGTTGAAAGTAATACTTCCTCTGGATTTTCAAAATATTTCCATCCTAATGCTACTTCATCAAGTTTGATATTATAATTAACTCCATCCCTGCCAGTGCTAACTCTGACAGTAATACAAATCCAATCCCCTTCCATATCCGAAATGACCCATGCATTGAATATAACATCTTTAGCTTGTTTGAATAGTTGATGGCTGTAAAATGTTGGATATTTCTCCTCGAGTGGCATTGGCTTGGATCGAAGATATAATTTATCTAAGGCCGAATCCATTGAATCAGCTGCAACATCATATACAAACAAATCCTTTGTTATCAATAATAATCGTTCTGGTGTTTTTCCAACTGTCAATAAATTCAATTTGTTACCATTATTATCTCGTAAACTTTCACAGATTTGCTGTTCACAAGGTTAACAAGTTCAAGATTCCTATCAATACTTGCAATAATACAACCAAACAATACTCACATCTTTTCCTGTTGAATTGGTTGTCATTTGGATGGTCTCAATTTGAACCATCAGTATGATCAAAACTGCCACATTGCATGCTATTGACATTTTCACTCGCAAATTAACCAAACACAATCGAAAAAACCAACAACGATTTGGTTCCCTCAAATCCTATCGTTGCTTTTAAATGTTTTCATTCGTTTTGTTGTCCATTATTGAATTGAGAACAATTTCTATTTAATAATGGAATCTTTTTCCTCAACAATTCTTAACCCTGCGTTAGTCATTTGTTACTTTCCGATAAATTTTCTTTAATTTTGTTTACACTGTGCTTGATATCTCTATGTAATTTGATATTATTATCCTCACTAACTAATAAGCAAGCGATTTGTCGCTTCTGATAAAACATTCTCTATGAGGATTGATTTATCAATCACAATCAACCAACCAATGGAGTGTTTGATCAAATGATCACATGAACAAGTGAATGACATCATTTGATCAAACACTTGCATTTTCTTTATTGATGCTCTGAAAGGAGTTGATTTGATTCTGTTTTGGTGATGAGTTTTTTCCATTCAGCATTCCTCGATTGATTGTTATGATTTCATTTGAATTGCTGGCACCATCCCCATTATTACTCATGCCAATACTATGACTAAATAAAAAATTCAAGGGCGGTGCCATCTTTGCCATCTTCACTATCGCACAACCACAGAATCATAACAATGATAATTATTTATTGGTGAAAGCAAGGTGAACGAGCTCCACTTTGTTTGTGTCTGGCATTTGTGAGTGTATTTGTTGTCTGTTTATTGATATCCAATGTTTTCATACTCAACAAACAACAATGTTTGGGTTTTTGGAACATTCATACCCAATTGGAATGAATGAATGCTCATCATTCATTATTCATCAACAATCAATCCAATACTCATGTTCAATTCTGTTAAAAACATGGTGATAATTTCCAATTGTTTGATTGCTCGTTGATCTTCTTCAAACTTCAATCATGCCTTTTGTAAAGATAAACTTTGCCCACCAAATCGTAGTAAATAAAAACTATCTCCGATCCATACCTGGTTTGTTGAAATTGGTTCAATGTGTAAGTTTTGTGTTATTGAAATTGATTACAAATTCACTAATTGGTTTGTTGATTGTCACTAGCTATGTTGTTTGATATCATTTTTAACCATATGGCTTTCATGTCGCAGCAATTACGACCCATATCTGGGAACTTATTCTGGATTTGTTGGTGGTGATCTGGAAACTTTTGCACTGTTGATCCATTTCATGTTATTCATGATGACCACATTGATATTGGCCATATATTATTTGTCAATATTTGCATCGACCATAATTCCCAAAACAGTATTTGTATGTTGATATTGTCAATAATGAATCATTTGTTTTACCCTTATTATGTTCAAGGAATTTGTCTATCATTTATTGGCCTTCATCTCTCAACTGATCGTTTCCATTTGTTTGTTGATAACATTAGTCAATAGGAATCAAGCTGATGACGGATTTCCGCCTGAACCAGGATTCAAAGGCAAACTAACTAGTTCGGTTTGTAAATTCTATCCTTATTCAATCAATCAATTGATTCAATTTCTTTGATTGATAGATATTCGGTCTGATGGCTTCAATCGTTTATGGCATCGATGCATGTTATTCCTATCAATCCTATATCCGAAGCTGATCAATCAATATGAATTGTTGTTAATAATTGTATATATCAACATTTTATCCAAACAAAATGAATAAACTTTGATTTGTTTGTAAACATTTTTCCCAATTGCTAATTTAGACTTGAAACAATGTTCATTATGATTATTGTGAGTCATCATAGATGGCAGCAACAATTTATTGACTCTAACCACCTCACCTGGCATGATCATATGCCCGATTGATTTGTATTTTGACAAATAATAAATAATTAATCTTTGATAAGAATATTTGACATCGATCATCATGGCTCAATCGGAAGATGTTCGTGCTATGATCGAACATGTTCGTGTGAAAAAAGCTGATGGCACTCTGTATCTGATGAACGAGCGTATTGCATGGATGCCGAATGGCAAAAATACATTCACCATATCACATAAGTATGCCGACATTAAAACGCAAAAAATTTCGCCCGAAGGAAAACCCAAAATTCAATTGCAGATCGTTTTGGCCAATGGCAGTGATACATTTCATTTTGTTAATCCTAAAGGCCAACCGGCACAGCTTGAGGATCGTAATCAAGTCAAAGAAATTCTACAGCAAATGTTGCCGTTGTTTCGGCGAAAAATGTCCCAAGAAATGGAACAAAAATGCAAAGTATTGGTGGACAATCCAACACTGTATCAACTTTATAAAGAATTGGTTGCTACCAACATCATCAGTACGGATGAATTTTGGCAAACTTATGCCACACGAAAACAGTTATCAATGAAAGGAATCGATCCTACCGGTAAAAAAGAAAAAGTCGGTGTCTCATCGGCTTTTTTGGCCGATGTTAAGCCACAATCGGATGGGCAGAATGGCATCCACTATAATATCACCAGCGAAATTATCGAGGCTATTTTTCAGACATATCCCGCCGTCAAACGAAAACATTTTGAATGTGTTCCACACAAACTGACCGAACAAGAATTCTGGCAGCGTTTCTTTCAATCCCATTATTTTCATCGTGACCGTATGACTTCCATGAAAGATTTCTTCAATGATTGTGCCAAACAGGATGAAATGGACATTCAAAATGCTATTAAAAAAGGAATTATTGATCCATTCTTCGATATCAGAGTATTCGATGACCCAGTCGAACCGACCATCGAAAATGTTTTAGGTTCAGAAGCGACAACTAGCTCGGCCAACAAACCCGAACTATCTGCCAACAAAGCTTTGATTAGAAGGTTTAATTTTCACTCAATCATGGTTTTGGATGCATGTCGATCCGAGGAAGAACGTGGATACAAAGATCCCTTGTCAATCATCAACGGTGGAGATAAAAAGAAAGAATCAAAAGAAAAACCCGAAGAATTAACCACCACCATTGTCGAATCAAAAGATGATGCCTTCGAGACTGAAAGATTGGTGGCAAAAAAACGTCGATTAAAAGAAGCCACCGAATATGACGATCTGGCCGGGAAAAAGCCTTCGGTTGGTGCATCGATTGATGAATTCGATGAAGGTATTGAACCGCCTAAACTTCAAGTTACCAATGTCGAACGTTATATGTATGGTCCTACACCTTTGTTGAAAAATTCAGAAAATTCATAGTAAGTGCAATACATTGTTGTTTTGCAAAATGTTAATTTTCAATTGTTTTTGAATTTAGTGATTATCCTCATGATAAACGAAATGTTAAAGCCTCGCTGCAAGCTGCTTTATTACAACAAATTACAACCATCTCATCCAATTGGCGGCCATTTTCCGGTATCATTTTGGATTCCAAGAAAGCTATCCAGGTCGTAAACGATTTATCACCCGGTGGCATACTGATGAAAGATGCCAGTGTTGTGTCATCCAATCTCAAAGATGAAATACCTAAGGATATTGTATTGGAACTCAAACACCTTCAAATGGCATTGGACGAATTACTTTATCATTTTTGGCAATGCGTTCCATTTTCGAATCAAGTTCACGAAAAAAAGTTTATCGAAATGAAAGAAACGTTGGACCGTTTTCATATCAATAAATTGCAGCCATTTCATGATCGCGTCTCCAAAGAATATCACCGGGACTTAACGAGCCATTTATTCAACAAACTTGAATCGGCACATGCTCGCTATAATAATTGGTATAGAAAAAAACAGTTACAATTCAAAAATTAAACTATTTTATGTTTGGGCTAACCCTCAAAAAAAAACCAAAATTTTCTTGATGTGTTACTATGACAACCTGAATGTGAAATACACAGAAATCGAATAGCAAAATGAAGAAGGAAAAAATCTTCAGCACCAACCAACCATCATTATGATAGGTCATTAACATTGATCTCGATTTTTGTTATTTGATAGAGAATGACTTGGTCTCGCTGGTTCAATTATTGCATTGATCAATCCATCCATTCACTCATTCATTCATTTCAATTTTTTTATCCATAAAAGGATCAACCAAACAAGCATCTTGGTGGCCATCAAATTTTCACTGTGCCTGTTCAACTTTAGTCTGCTGCGGTGACTGCCACCACCACCATTACCACCACATAAACATCAGATATACGCTCACGCATCTCCAAACAAAAACTTGTTGTTTTGTTATTGTGCTTATATTATTATAATGCGTATAATGTGTTTGTTATTATGAAATAAATATTCGATCTGAGTTTCCATTTCTAGCATTGGATAATTGTTTGCTCCAAATTGTTTTTGTCCAATTGGATCAAATGTGTTGAGAAAAATGAATGTTCCAGCTGAAATCGGTGACAATGTGAAAGTTGCCCGTGAATGTTCCCTGTTGGGAAACTATGAAACGGCCCTAATCTATTACCAAGGTGTTGTTCAACAAATTCACCGTCATTTGCAAACAATAACTGACCATAATCTGAAGGAAAAATGGCAAGAAGTTCAACAAATCATTGCTCAAGAATATGAAGTTGTTAAAGATCTTCACCAAACATTGTTAAATTTCAAAGGTGATCATCACAATTCACGACCGATTGGTCCTCCCAATTTAGCTGGATCTGGTGGTGGTGGATCTTCCGGAACCAATGGTTCCATCGATCCTAGTCTTTTTGCTACCATTTTACAAAATGTTTCCTACGATAATTATCGAGATCCAGATGTATGGCCCGAACCGGTTGATGTAAATCACCATCATCGTTCATCTATGCCACCGCCGCCATCAACATCGTCTTCGAATTGTCGTAAGCCTGGTCATTCATCATCCTCATCTTCCCATCATAATATTGGTTCTCGCAGTATCACGCAGAAATCCTCAAACCGAAACTCTGCTTCATCCAAAGGTGGTCCTTCGAAAGATCCACGAGCCAAAAGCAAAGACACATCCAATTCGAGAGCGTCGGACACAAAACGTCGAACAACAACATCAAGCTCTGGTGCCAATTCTAGCCAAACAAATTCGAATGGAAATAATGCTACCAAGTCAGCTGATGAATTGAACGAACAAAACAAAGAACGTCGTTTCGAAATTCATGGACCTGATGCCGAATTGGTGGAAATGCTGGAACGTGATATTTTGCAAAAGAATCCCGATACACATTGGGATGACATTGCCGATCTGCAAGAAGCCAAACATCTGCTAGAAGAAGCTGTGGTATTGCCAATGTGGATGCCCGATTTTTTTCGTGGCATACGTCGACCATGGAAAGGCGTATTGATGGTCGGACCACCAGGTACAGGCAAAACAATGCTTGCTAAAGCTGTTGCCACTGAATGTAAAACAACATTCTTCAATGTTTCATCAACAACACTCACTTCCAAATATCGTGGTGAATCGGAAAAATTGGTTCGGTTATTGTTTGAAATGGCGCGTTTTTACGCTCCATCCACTATATTTATTGATGAAATCGATTCACTTTGTTCGCGAAGAGGTTCCGATAATGAACATGAAGCCAGTCGTAGAGTTAAATCCGAATTGCTGATACAAATGGATGGCATAACTAACAATGATGATCCATCCAAAGTAGTCATGGTTTTGGCTGCTACCAATTTTCCCTGGGACATTGATGAAGCATTACGAAGACGTTTGGAAAAACGTATCTACATTCCATTGCCCACGGCCGAAGGTCGCGAGGCATTGCTTCGAATCAATTTACGCGAAGTGAAACAAGCAGAAAATCTAGATGTTGGCGAAATTGCCCGACGTTTGGATGGTTATTCCGGTGCCGACATAACTAATGTTTGTCGAGATGCTTGTATGATGGTTATGCGACGTCGTATACAAGGTCTGACGCCCGAACAAATACGTTCGCTATCGAAAGAAGAACTGGATCTGCCGGTTACATTCAATGATTTCGAAGAGGCAATGCGCAAAATTAACAAATCCATTTCACCCGAAGATCTGAAAAAATATGAAAAATGGATGGCCGAATTCGGTTCAACGTAAATGGCAACGTTGAAATTGTGAAATTGTAATTTTGTTTGAAATGTTTTCTAACAATTATTTTCTAAAATAAAACATATTTTACAAACAACTACAACCACAGTGTTTATTCATTCATTTTTCCACCTTGTTTTCTCAACAAAACATTTTTGGATGGACAATTATTATTATAATTTCATGACATGATGGGCAATTCTCAGTTTATCAAATGAATAAGGCACCAAATATAACTGGCCAACTTCATTGCTGATGAACTGATCGAACTCAATTATGATGACAAATGATGATCAATACAAAAATAATTCGATATAAAACGGTAACGGAAAAGAAAAGAAAATCAACACTAAAACAATTATTAACAAAATCCTGTGTTGCAATCATTTAGTTCCGCTTTGACAAGAATTGTTTATCATCATCATCGGTGAATAACAGGAAAGAATATTGAAAAATATAATTAAAAAATTGCTGGCCAACAAACGATGATATCACAATCATTTAGAAAGAAAATGTATTAAATATTCTCATCATGATAATGTTATGTAAGTATTAGAAATGAGACGAAATTCACAGATTATTTTCCCGATTGGTCCGCATTAGACTGTTATGGTTGGATGTTCCGGACACGATCGATTAACATTGAACCAAGCATCGATACATCTGTCCAATGAATGAATCAATGAATCAATAAAGGAATCAACTGTGATTCAACACTTACTTTTTATGATATATACACAGACATGGAAGACGAGCTATTTTTTCACCATTCAGCATATCTTCTAAACAAATTACACATTCTCCTTTGTCTTCGGTGAGTACATCCTCTGCAGGAAAAAAACAAAAATCATTTGTTATTTCAAAAAGATAATAACATACCATTATAATTGAATGGAAGTTTATAACACATTAAATGAAACTGTAGTTCATCTTTGAGAATAATTTTCGAACAGCCTGAACACTTGACATCTGATTAGAGAGAGAGAAACAATTAATAAAACGAGTGATTGAATCAGAAAGATGATAATTACGATTATAATTATATGGAATAATTGGAAGTGAAAAAGGCATAAACGACAATGATGAAAGACCAATATCGATGTCCAAATCATTCGAGAGAATATCATGTGATGAGGATGATGAGGATGTATTGTTCGATGTGAGAAAATCAATGGCACTCGAATGCGATGGTCTGGATGATGAGCGCCGTGAATTGCCGGAGGTTGTTGTTATATGATCACTAGCACTGCCACCGGACAACACTAGACTTCTGGTACGTTGTCGGGAAGAATGATTACTGTCACTATGGTTGAAAATGTCATCATTGTTTTCGGTATTAGACCGATGGCCATTTCTATATGGTGTGGAATATGTTGAACTATTATTACCCATGTTGCTTGGAGAATTATTATCGTCACTTTGGTTTATTATTCTCGATGGGCTATTATCATTACTTGCGGCTGTTGTTGTACTTTGCCTAGCACCCATCATTCATAACAAAACCGAAAATTCGAAATTTAATTTTCACACCAACAAATTCGAGAAGAAAGAATCAAAATGGGTGCAAAGCAGAATATAATTGTTATGGAAAGAAACGGAGAGTGAACAAAACAACGTTCATGACCAAGTGTGATGAGCATCAACAAAAATATTTCAACCAAACAACCAATCAAACGACAACACTCACCACCAAAATACTAAAATAACAAGCATGACAAAAAGTGATTTATTCGCATTATGTGGATGATAGTCGTGGTGGTTGATTGGTTGGTTATGTTGAAAAGATCATATAAGAATGATGATTATGGGGATTTCAGTATGGTGTGGTGGTATTGATAATGATGGTGATTTGTGTAAATGTAGTTTGTTCATTTCAATCATAATCACAACGATGATTATTGGAAAATGGAACCCAAAACAACAAACACAAGAATGGAGAGAAATTTAATTTGTTGATGTGTTTTGTTGTTGTTGACATCCAATTTTTTATGATGATAACACTGACTTGGATTGGCCAAAACAAAAATTGATTATAACATTTGTCATTTTTTCATGGAAAATCCAAATAACCCATATACTCAGGGATTCTTGTTATTCTGATCAGCTGATGACACAAACTCAATTGAGTCGAAAGAATCGATCCAGTTTTCGCAGCAAAAAACAAAATCAATCCAACTTATTATCTTTCACGACACACACTTTTTATTTTCTTACATCTAATTATTGTCGCATTGATCTTTAGACTTTTTACAAATTTCGTTTGATAGCAATGCTGTTGTCGTTGTTGTTGTTGTTATTTGTCCAAGTTTGATAAACACAGCGCAATTTTCTCCTTTCTTCTTTTTCTTTACCACTGATCATCAGTCGGTTCGGTTTTTCAGTGTGTGTTGGCACAACAACAACAATGATGATGATGGTGTGGATTAAATTGATGCGCGCGCTTGAATTTATAACTTGATATTGATTGACATGGATATATAATTTAGTTTGATGATATGATTGATAATGATGTGTGTTTGCAAACAATTCCTTCAATCATTATCATTGCATTTTTGATTAATAAATTTTAATTTTTTTTAATTATAAAATCCATATTTCGTGTATGATGGAGTCTGTGTGCGGAACTGTAATCTCTAATTACTTTATGATGGGGGAAACAGTTATTTTTCATTTCAATTTATCACATTTGGCCATTCGCTATTTGTCTCCATTTTTCTCCTTTTCCGTAGCTAATTATAGAATTTATGTTGAAATAAACAATGTGTTTAAAAGTAAAATTTGTTGATTTCGGATTCGAATCGAAAGACAATGGACAACATAATTATTCAAGGTGGTCATTGCTAATTTGTGTTTCTTTGGTTGTCTTGGTTATCGGTGGGGATGTGTGCAGGAAGACTGTTTGGTTTGTTTGTTCATGGTCAGTTCATCTCTTGTATGTCTATATATGATAATTATCATGCATTGTCATTGGCCCACAAATGGTTCACAAATAATTTTTCGATCCAAACAACAAACCTAAACCAATTCAGTCAGCTAATGGCGTTTGTTTGGTTTTGTTTTTTTTCGCAAACACCAATCGGTTTGAAATCTAGTCAATAAAGAAAAACTCGTTTTGGATTGGATTTCCTTCGAACGCCTACACGCGAAAACTTCAAATCCTTGTTTCAATATTGAATTATGAAGAAAATTTTCTTCTCGTTCAATAGCCATTTAAGGTTTTGTTTTCGCATCCACAAATTCAATTGATTTTCATATTTTTCTCGCTAATCAAAACCCAAACGATCGGAAAATGTCGAACCCAAACACAATTCAAAGTCCACCAGCATCGAATGATCAAATAATCTATGTGAAACGCAGTGCACCAAAATACAGTCAATCTGGCATGACCGTCAAAGTGAAAGCCCAATCGACTGGTGTTGGTGAGGATCTTTATTTTAATCCGCAATATTTTTGCACTAATCCTGGCGTCATCAAACTCATTCAATTGGTAAATTTTGATTCACATCAATCATCACTGTATTTATAATGAATTTTTTTCCCTAATTCGGTGAAGCTGTTTGGAATAGTTGCACTGAGTTGCATATCACCACCTTTGACGGTAAGCTCATAAAATTGATTGATTCAAGAAAAAACTGATATTTTCTTCTCAAACCAATCGCAGTGGTTTTCACGATTATTCACCTTCTTTCTGGCCATTACATTTGCTATAACATTGATTCTTTGTTTTGCCTATTTGGTCACATTGAAGAACGTATTCTTTCCCAAATTCAATTGGCTTACAATTGAATTGACTTATACGATTTGTTCGTCAATTTGTTTATTAATCACGGCATTAATACACATATTATATAGTTGCCGCCAGGATTATCGTTACAGTTTGACCTACTTTAATTCATATTTGGGTACAAGCTATTTTGGCACTTATATCACATCGGGAGTATGTATTACACTCTTCACTTCATTCATTATTTAAACAAATTCTCCCTTTCAAAGGTATTTGGAATATTCAATTCCATTGTCTATGCAATTGGAGCATATTTTCTTAATAAAGAGCGAAAATATGGCGGCAATACAGTGGCTCCTTCCCGTCCCAATAATGATCGAATCTAACCAAGTGGTATTTTTTGAATCAAATAATTTTATTTTCATTTTGATGGTTAACCAGAAACAAAAAATACAAATATTTATGTTGTTTAACATTATTATCCGTTATTAATAAATCAATTGGATTAAACATAAATGTTTTTTTAATTATCACAGCAACGAGAGTAGTAGTAGTAATAGTCAAATCAAATCAAATGTATGTCGGTGAATCAGCCAACGATGTTCCACATGCCGTACAAAACTTATCATTTTTATTGTTGACTAATGTACATTTATTACATTGTCGACCGCCAGTAATCAATGGTGTTGATTCATTACCCTTTGTACGGCTGCGATGACACATTTGGCATATTTCCACACATTCATCGTTCACATAGGTACAAGATTGACATGACCATCCATCATCACATTGTTCATTGGATGATTGATGACAACTTTCCTCGGACGATAATTCTATTAAAGGTTTGTGGTGATTATTCAACAGATTTTCTTTGGATATCGATCGTATCGTGCTTGTTGGTGGGTTGGTGGCTTTCTTCTCATTCGGTGCTGAACGATGATACAAAAACGAAGACGAGTTTGATGGAGAAATGATCGGTTTTTTCGAAATGATTATTTGTTGCGGCTCCGAATGGATTGGCTTCACATTGACAGGAATTATTTTCCGAGCTGCCGTTATGTTGTTTGTGGTTTTGAAATCCTTATGAAAGAAATTGGTATTGTTAATTGGTGTTGTATTTTTACTAGTTTGTTCGTTATGATGGGCAGAATCGATAAAATCAATGGTATCCAAATCACTTTCCAAATAGGTAGGCGGTGGTGGCAAAATAATTTCCTTGCTTGAATTATTACTAATATTGGGTTTTACTGTGGAACCGTTCACAGTGGGCGACCATTGTTCGATTTTATTGAATGTTTTCATTGAATAATCGGGCAAATCAAGATCTAGGTCCAAGTCAATCAACTTGTTGTTACGTTTTAAATCACAAAAAATACGAACGGCACTTTGAACATTACAAACGTATTGGCACCTAATGCAATAGATATCTTTCCAGCACATTTGATCCGGACATTTGGTTTTGATGTCCGACATGATTTGTATTTCGACAATCGATACCAAACAATCGAATGAAATGGCGATCATTTTATCCGGATCGATGGGCATTTCCGACAAAGCATAAATATCGTTGGATGCATCATAATTGTAGCCAATCAATTGCATCAATTCACAGTGTCCGGATAAGGAATATTTTATTATTCGATAATAACCAAAGGCAAATATTTTATGATATTCGTGACGCCAAGGATAATTCAACAGATTGAGCGCATATCGCTCGACTAATCGAAAAGCTGTAACAACAAAAATGAATAAATTGATTGAAGCATTCAACAATACAAATACCTTCGATAGCTTTCTCTGGATCGAAATTTGATTTTTTACAGGTTATTTCTAAACAATCGCGAAATTCTCTGAATGTAAATTTGTCATCATGTCGCACCACAATTAGATATTCGTCAATCAAACATTCTAAACGTTTTCGTAATTCAATTTTCTTATCATATTCATCATTATTATTGATATAGGCCAAATGAATTTCGTGCATTCGTAGACGAAGGTTTCGGATAGCTGTCTGATTATTATTGGTTGGTTTGCCAGTTAATAGCGAATAATTGGAATCACATGATTCATAGTTGCACAATCTACCATCATTCTGATGATGATTAGCTGCACAAATTAACAAATGGGGATTGGGATCATAATGATATTGACGATTTGCTGTCGATACGGCATGGTTATTATGAATATTATTAACATGATGATGATGATGATGGGGTTGGTGATTAACATCCATCCTGTTCATACTGTTGTTGTTTGTCTCAATGATTTTTCTCCATTCATCAACAAAAATTGATCACAATTAACAATTCTTGACGATAATCAACAACAGTACTCATATCATCGTCGTCGTCGTTTAGAGGTTAAACCCAATTTATAATCAAAAAAAAAACAAAACAAAAAAATTCTTGTTTGGCTAACAATAATGATTCTTGTGAAAGAGTGAAAAAACAACCACAATAATAAGAATCAATTCTGTTGAGAAACTTGTGCAGAAATAGCTCATTATGGTCCTTCAATAAATAACGATACATTGTGTTCCTCCCCTCATTCCCCCAATTTTTTCGAATTCTTTTCAAAAAAAATCCAAAATCTTGTATGAATGAATGATGGATTCCTGACAGAAAATATCAAACAAACAAAATCAAAATTTTCATGCATTTATTTTCCTTTTCATAATTGAAGAAAAAACAACATTTTCTGTTTGTTTGGTTTTGGTTGTCATCAAAGCCATGACAACACTGCTTGATATCGCCATATCACCAATTTATTGGGATGATTCTCTTGCAATAAGATAACAATGATAAGCATCCATCCATCCACCATTCGACTCACGACATTTATAATTGATTAATTTTTGTTTGTGTTTTAATTGATAAACAAAAAAACAAAAGCCAATTAAAATGAGAATCAACTGCGTGTGTGTAGGTGTTTGTTATTTTAAGTAAAAAAGTTTGAATCGCGAAATAATCAAAGATCAATTCGTGGGCAGGGCCCCGAAAACATTCGAATCGAATCAATTCGAATGACAGACAGAATCATTTGAATAAATAAAGATTTTCTACATTTTTCCATTCTCTTCTTTCCTTTCATTTTCGTTGTTGATTGATTGACATTATCTCCCCCCCAAAAATGATCTAATCATTGTCATCGTCATTGGTTTCGAAAATATTGTGCGCAAATGTCAGTCACAAAAAAATAAACTATAATCTTTCTTCATCATCATCAAAAAATGTCGTCGTCAAAATAGTAATAACCAACCAAGATCAACGATATATGATCGTCAAAGTGAAACCAAAAAAAACTTGGTCGTCTTCATGACAACCATCCCATTGCATTTTCTTTATAGTATTCTTTTCCTTGGAACCTTTATCGATTGGGGAAAGACAATTTCATATGGTTGTTTGCGTCATATTTTAAATCCAAATTGAATGAAATTTGCTCCATTTGATCATTAAGCAGAGAAAAACGATTGTTTCATTTTCTAATTGAATTAAAATAATGATCTTGCCATAATGATGAAGTGTCTAGTATTTCAACCAAACAATTGTGCTATCGAAGTTAATATTCGAAATAAAGCTTTCGGTCAAGAATGTTTGAACAAGGTTTGTTTGCTATGATGATAATTGAATTGTCATTCCGGAATATTATTGTTTTGCCACAGGTTTGTGATCTGATCGATATTATTGAGATCAACTTTTTCGGCCTGCAATATTATCGTAATGGTCAGCCATATTGGCTTATTCTACGCAAAAGAATCGATCAACAGATCAATGCTCGAATGAAAATGATTCGCTTATATCTCAAAGTAAAGTTCTATGTTCTTCCACATCACATTCAACAAAATTCAACAAAGTTTGTCCATTTTCATTTCCCTTTTTGATTGATGAAATAATTTATTTTTTCCACCAAAAAGGCATCAATTCTATCTGAATATTTGTCAATATTTGGAGACAAAGGTATTGAAAATTGATTCGGAAAAGCGAACCAAATTGATTGCATTGATAGCCCAAATTGAATTTGGTGATCTGGATGAAGAATCATATGATCTCAAAATACTTTATTCAAAATGGCTGTCGATATTATTTCATTCGGAACAGACTAAGCGATTAACATCGAATCATAGATCACTAATGAACAATAATAATCATAAATATCGACCATATTGTGATACACTGGATATCGATGAAAGTAACACTATAAATATTCGGACCAAATCAAAAACAATGACTGCTGCCAGTCATGACGGTGACAAAAATTGTGATTTTATGCAACGGATTGTATTCTGGCATCAAAGATATCAAGGATATTCATCGCATTATGCGAAAAACTTATTCCTCAAAGAAGCGTTGGAAATCAACGATCTTGGTGTGGATTATTTTTCCGTAACATCCAACAAGAAAAATCTTCTGGTAGGTATTGGACCACGCGGTATAACAATAAATCATTCCTCTAATCATAACAATGATAATATCAAATTGTAAGTATTACCAACATTTTTAGACATCCATTTTAACCTGATGGAAAACAAACACAGGATAACTTACAATAAATTGAAAGAAATTCATCATCATAGATCAAGTCATTTATTAAATTATAACTATATCATAACCATCAATTACAATGATGAAACCAATCTAATCACCGAGCAAAAATTTCGAATTTATTCTGAAAAAGATTACTATCAATTTTTTCGTTTGATCAATGAACGACGTGCTTTCTACAGTCTTCCAATGATCGACCAACAGACAATCGTTTCCAATCGATTCAATTCAAACTTTACTTTTCTCAATGATTTAATGCAAACACTGTCATCACCAACATCATTGTTGAATTTGACGTCATCGTCATCGAACAAATCAACCACACTGATGAATAAAAAAGCATCCATATTTGATGTTGATAAAACATTGAAGCAATTTTATGATGATGTTCGACGTTACATTTATCATTTCAACAGACAATTCGATAATGTTATGCTCAAAAATGCCATGTTGGTTCGTCAGGATTCGCTTTTATTTCATCATTCAAATCAACAACAACAACATTACACAAATTCGGTATGTTTGAACAGAATAGGCAAACAATAATTGTTTATATATCAATTCAATAGGACATTACCGATAACAATAAATCACTATGCAAAATATGTTTGGATTATCAGATTGGCATCGCATTTATACCATGTGGCCATACATCTTGCGAACAGTGCTGCCTCAACATTAAAAACGATACTTGTCCATTCTGTAAATGTGAAATGAAATCAAAACAGAAAATTTTCCTTTAGAAACTGTGTGTGATGGATGTTATTTTGTTGAATTTGTTTATTATTATTGCTTTGCTTTCTTCAACTAAATGTTGTGTCTCAATGTATTTGGTGATAATGATTATTTTGTTTTTGTTTTTACAAATCATCCATATCCGTTTCGACGATGAGAAAAAGTTTTTGGAGAAAAACTTTGACGCAATCTATAGTTATTATTTATAAAAGTATAATATTTTACAATTAATGTTGCAAATTAATTAATAAAATGACATAGTTACCCAAATTGAATTGTTCTTTCTCGAGAAAATTTTTCAGAAAATACACCGGTATGCCGGATAACATTAATGCAAAACCGATTAGCGAGTTCTGGAAATCATTATGTACAGCCAATATGGTAAGAAATAGACACGACACAACGAATAAATACAGTAACCATAATGGCAAACGTATGGGACGATCCATATCCTTACAATTATGTCGTAATACTATTCCTGTTAACAACAAAATTTAATTTCTTGACAACAAAAAAAAGAAAAAAAATACCCGAAAGCACAGCAACGCCAGTCCACAACCAGTTAGTGAAACTAAAATAATTGATTAAGGAAAAAATATCTTGCCCGACAAACATAATAATCGTAATCAATACGGAAAATATCAAAGATACAATCGGGGTATAACGCTCATAATGTAACATTCCAATCATGGATGGCAAATGCTTTTCTTGTGCTGCTATGCAGAATAATCTACAATCATGCAAATCAAATTGAAATTTATTACACAAAAATCGATCATTTTGATGTGATCACAAACCTTGAAGTTGTGAATATAGTGGCATTCAAACTGCCAAGCGTTGATATGGCAATCGAAAATGAAATCAAAGAATTTCCAATAGGACCGATAATTTTTCTACCAAATGTCTATTTTTTAATAAGATAATCATGAATGAATAATAATGAGAGTGATAATGATGGAAATATTTAGTCGTTACCAAGGCAATAGCATCACGGGCGAGAATTTCATTCGGTGTTAATATGAGAAAATATGATAAATTGGCAAGAACATAAATCAATGTAGAGATAAGGATGCCAGCCATCGCTGCTTGTGGAAGATTTCTGTCATCATTAAATTCAATAAAATAATGAGATTGTTATTCTTCAAAAAAGGAAAATAATGATGATAACAGAGTCTATTCAAGACATACTTGTAAGGATTTTTCAATTCATCGGTCACAATATTCAGATAATTCCTTATAGTTTTTTCAACAAAAAAAATTGAATTTTAATGAAAGCAATTTATTATTATTCTATTCTATTATACTAACCATCCACCAAATGCAAATAACCCTGAATAAATGGCCAAAGAGTACATTGGCAAACATTTGTCCGATTCGAATTGTTTGCCATCGTTTTGTTGTTCATTCCATAAACTATTTATTTTCGATAAGGATAATGATGATGAATTAGTGCTGTCGCTGATCGATTCTAATTGAAATTTATCTGAAAAGCAAACATGATTGAAAGCATCTCATATTTGAAGTGAGCACACATACCAAATATATAGATGGCGATACCGGAAACTATGATGGCCGACAGTGCTAATACTTTAAGATAAGTGAATATATTTTGCATACTTATTGCCCATTTGATATTGATGCAATTGATCAATGCGAGTAAACCTACATTTTCATTACAATTAATCATTCAAAACAAAACAAAACAATACTAACTTATCGTTAAAGCTGCTATGATTCGTGAGGAAATTTCAATTTGTTGCTTATTGGACGACGCATCCAACCTACATTGATGATTGGTTTCATTGTTATCATTGGTGGCAGTGAATGTTCCAATAAGATAATAGGCAAATGTTAGTGATATGATGGCTTGAGCAGCTGGTTTCAATATGATTACATTTAACCATAAATAAACGAAGGATAACATTGAACCAAAACCCGACTTGATATAAGCATAATCACCACCAGAGCGCAAAATAGTTGTGCCTAATTCGGAATAACAGAGTGCCCCAAGCATGGAATATAGACCACATATAATCCATACTATTATTGCATTGAAATATGAACAATTGGCATATTGAAAGACACCTTTCGGGGCAATAAAAATGCCCGAACCGATTATTGTGCCAACAACAAAACAAACACCATTCAATAAACCGATTTGACGTTGAAATTTGACTTGTTGTTGTTGTTGTGACATGTCTTTCATTTATTTTCATTCACAATAAATAATCAAAATAAATGGCGCCAATTGATTATCGTCGTAGTTGTTGTTGATGATGATGATGATGATCTCGTGATGTGTGATTATACAGCAAAACAAAAATAAAAATCAAGTGATAAGAGATGTCTGAAGTCTTCAAATATCTATCGACGAATGAATGGTGGTGGTGGTGGTGTATCCCAGAGAAAAAGTTTCGTTTAAAATAATGATCGAGCCTCTATGGGTTTTTTCTACACTCACTACGTTGGTTATTCTCAAAATATTCAACAACCAACTAAAGCTAAACTAAACTAATAGAGACAGAGTGTGTCTATCAAACAACAACTAATGAACTGATAACATTAACAATTGCACCATTTACATTCAGGAGGATGTCACAGGAAACTAGATATTTTGTTATGGCTGTTTGCTTGCTTGCTTGCTTGGTTGGTTGGTTGGTCGTCAACTATCCACCGCCACCAAATAGGATATTATTTTCATTTTTCATTTTTCGCGATTGCTCATCAAGAATATACAGCACTCGAGTGGAAAGGAAACAAACATATCAATTCATGTGATCATCATCAATTTAACCAAAATGTTGTCTTTTACTTTCAACAGTTTGAAATTGATGTGCAAGGTGATGAGCGAAAAAAAAATTGTTGAATTTTCAAATTGTACAAAATTTATTAAATTTAAAGTCGGAAATGTTGTCCAAACAATTAATTGAAAATGATTGGTACTAATAAAATTAGCAAAAAACCGAAGCATATGACTGAAATGGTTGTTTTGTTTGGGGCATGTTGCAATACTGAAAAACGATGCAATCATAATGTTGTTGTTGTTTGTTCGCCACACAGAATTCATTCATTTTTGCGATGTTGAAGAAGCATGGTTCTGTTATTGAAACTGATTCATGTATTGAATATATACAGTCATACTGCCGTTATTCTATGTGTTTCATATTAACAAATGCAATACTGTATTTTGGACAAAATATTCTGTTATGTCGTTTGTGAATTTCCAAAAATTGTTAAAAGTCTGAGTTTTTTTGATTCAGAATTTTTTGAATTCAGAATTCTTCCAATTGTATCATCATTAAGTTGACCTGTTGATTATTAATTTTGTGGAATAATCGATCAATCATGGTACTTGGTTGGTCGGTAGCTAATACGACTATTTCCCATCCTGATTTGCACGCAATGTGTCTGGCAACATCGGGTAATGGAAAATGTGCACTTGTTTCACGACGATCCATATCGATAATTCGTACGGATAATTTGGCCAAAATTGATTCGGTCATAGCCCGAGAAACTAAATGGGATACTACACATGCTGAATTCAGTCCCCCGGATCCGAAACAATTGGCCATTACTAATGCGCAAACCATTAATATTTATAATATTGATGACCAAAGTAATTGGTTGATGCATACACTCAATGGTCATACTCGCACCATTACTGATTTGAATTGGTCGTGTAAGGAGCCAAACATTTTGGCAAGTGCTTCGTTCGATAATTATATCTATATCTGGGATCTAAGGGAAACCCGGAAACCCATATATCTCATGTACTCGATTTCGGGTGCCACACAGATCAAATGGTCGAAAATGAATGAAAATATTCTGGCAACCAGTCACGAGGGTGATGTCCGAATCTGGGACAAAAGAGTAAGTTCCAGTCAGTGTAATAAACCATTCTAATTGAAACAATCAAAACAGAAAAGTAATATGCCATTACATTATGTATCAACTTATTTGGCCAAAATAACCGGAATCGATTGGAGTCCATTTTATGAGAATAAATTCTTAACCTGTTCGCAGGATGGAAGTATAAAAGTCGGTATTTCTCTGTGGGTTGTTTTTTTTTTGTAGTAATGTTTTGTTGAATAGCTATGGGATCTAATAAATTGCAGCAAAGGAAAAAGTGAATACCATATGACAACGGGATTGCCAATTTGGAAAGCACGTTATACACCATTCGGTAATGGTCTGATGACAGCATTAGTGCCACAAATGCGTCGAACCGGAGAGAACAATTCGCTTTGGATGTGGAAAATCGATTCACTTGATCAACCGATTCATTCATTTGCCGGACATCTTGATGTTGTATTGGATTTCGGTTGGAATATTATCGATTCGGATGATTATGAATTGATTACTTGGGCACGGGATAATACTTTTCGTCTGTGGAAAGTGAATCCCAATGAATTTGTCCGCCAAATCCAGGATTCATCTTCGACGGACGATCAACATGATCATCATACTGATGATATATCATCCGATTTCGATAGTCAATCGGCAAAATTGTCCAATCTCGATCTAAGTAAATCAAGCGACCTATCATCGCCAATATCGGAGAAATGTGAATCAAATCAAAATGAATTTGATAATTTGGAAGATAAATCGGATAAAGTTTTCAGTTTGAAACAAGAATTTTCCTTATTCAATTCAAACATTGCTAACCTAATGATTGAAGAACTTAATGTCAATAAACGTTTTTGTATAGCATCCATCAAATCGTCAATCATATGTCGATTGAAGATATTCTTTCCCATCAATTACCCAAACACTATACCTGTCTTTACATTTCTAAATGATCAACCTGTGCCGTCATTCAATTCGAATACAACCAAATTATTGGATGATAAAACTAAAAAAGAAATTCTCACTGATCTTCAATCCACAGCTACATTTCTTGTCAAACATAATCGCAATTGTTTGGAGAAATGTCTTCGACAATTTGTTCACCTGATTGAAGAATCGACATCATTGAATTTAATCCAAACAAACAGCAATACTAATACTAATATTAAACAAACCATATCGGATTACCTTCCTACTCACCAATACGTCAGCTATCTGGACGCATCGGTACCTTTTCCTCGTACATCCGGAGCAAGATTTTGTTCATCCGAAATTCTGGTCTGTTTCGGACGGCCACCACATCTAGAGCAAATGAATGTTCCGACCGAATATACACCGCGATCGTTATCCGCATTATCATCATATTTGGTGAAACATGTTGGTGCTTATAATTCGAATCATATGAATGCAAAAGATAACATTCCATCCATATCGTCATTTTATATTGATTCTTCAAAAAAACATCGATCGTTTCGTAAAGTGCATCAATATCAGGAAAAAAAATCGCCAAATCTTTGCGGTCCTGTTATGGTATTCAGTGTTGCCAAATTATTACCAATTTCTCGTCATTTAGCCGAACAATACATTGTGCCCACACCGAAAAGCAACATTATCAATCTGTGCGAATTGAATGCTAAAATTGCCAACACATCTGGCCGTCGTGATCTTCTACAAACCTGGCATTTGGTTCGAATTTCGGCCGAGATTTATCTGAAAAATCGTTTTCTATCATCGGAAGAGCTCAATTCACACTGGTCAAGACATCCATTCGGTGGAAAAATGATACAATCAATGTAAGTGAAAATTTTTTTCAAAAAATTGATTTCAATTTGAAAAGTTTCTCTTATTTCAGAATTGAACATTATGTTTTAAAATGTAACGATATTCAAACGGCTGCAATGATTTCAAGTGTAATAAGTTCGTGCAAACTTAGTTGTGGTGAACCTTCCTTTACATCAACAACAGCAGCGACACAAAATCAATCGAAAATTGATTACAATTCCACATCGACTCATGATGAAAATGACAATGAATGGACCAAAAGTTTAGCGAGTGATGTGATCAACAACAAAAATCGTATTCGCACAAGTAGTTGCTCATCAAATCAAGAAACGAATCAAAACAAAAATGATAAAACCATTGTTGACCATAATAATGATGAATCATCCTTGAATGAACGTGTTGAAATGTGAGTATCAAAAAAAATTGAAATCTCTCAAAAAATTAATCAACTTTATTAATTTGCCACGTTCAGGACATTTGATTCGAAACTAACATTAGAATATGATTATTATAAAAAAATCTATGTAGATATTCTATATCGATGGAAATTGATTAAAAAGCGTACCCAACTATTGAAAACAATCGAATCGAAAATGTTGCACGAGGATCAATCACACATTGTTTCCTTTGGTATCGAATGCTTCACCCAATCCTGTAAAGATCGACAAAAACTCTGTAACAATTATATTTGCAGCCATTGTAATCGTATATCGTTGATATGTACTATTTGTCGTTTACCTGTCAAAGGTGCCACCAATCATTGCATGAAATGTGGTCATGGTGGCCATGCTAAACATATGAATGATTGGTTTCAAGAACATGACCAATGTCCATCCGGTTGTGGATGTGTTTGTCTTCGAAATTAACCAACAATGATTATTGTTAATAATTATTTTATTGTAATCAATATTTAAAACAAAAATGAAAAATAATTATAATGTTGTTTCTGGTTGCTACTGTAATTTTGATAGATTCTATCCAAATTCGTTTAGTTTCAATTTTCATTTCCAATCACCTTTTTCATAATCGAATTTGGATGCTAAACCAAAAATGGGATTGGTTTTGTATAGGATTTCCAAATCACGGGTACGTTGTTTTCCCTCCGGTGTCATCGTTTCGGGCAAAGGTCCATAAACTAATGAAAAAGATGAATATTTTTATTTCAAAAAAAACCAATCATTCAACTTACAGTTTTTACGAGCGAATGCAAAATAATAAAGTGCAAGAGATACAGTAAATAATACGACTGCCAATTGTATCTTCCATTCGCCAGTCGGTGCCTCAACTTCGGACAATGTGAGACAGAAATTGTGACGGTAAACTGTGAAACAAACATTTTACAACATGTCCAACATTGTTCAAATCACTTACGTTTCTTTTTCTCTTCCAAAGTCAATTGTTTCCAATCATTCTTTTCTTTCTCACGAAGTCGTTTGATTTCATCACTTTCTTCACGGAATCGAATAGCCGGGTATGGCATATCCGTGGTATCAAAATAAGTATATGATCCATTGAATCCAAAACCGACAACTTCACGTTTACCAATCAATTCACGATTATGGTAAGACTGTGCTTGAATCATTGCAATACATTTTTGGACTCGATTTACATTCAATAGTTGATTAAAACGTGATAATCGCAATACATAAGACATTTTTAGCCAACTTAATCAGGATCACGGTGTTGAAAAAAGTTGTAAATTGAAAACAAATCTTGGTCTGAGTTGGAAAATTCCTCGCCTGTTCGATTGATCGAGTGACTTTCTTTCTCACCTTTTTATAAAAACAATTTTGCTTTGTTCATAAACGACGAGCACTCATTCGCGTGATGACGATCTAATTAAGTTTTCATGATTTCTTTTTTGATTCGCGTTTTTCAACAAAAATAATGTTTTTGTTTGGGAAAAGAATTTCCAATCGATAATGTCCGGACAATTCAGCTATTCACGTTGGGACCCAATATTGATTTCTACCCAGATTGTGGCCATACAAACAACATTTTATCTAAGTCTTGGATTCATTCTATTCTGGATTGCACATCTATTCGGTTATTATGCCACATTGGATCAGATATTCAATTCGCAGATTGTCAGCTTTAAAACATCACTTGGTCTAGTCATAACAATTTCATTCATTTCAAACTCTTTTTTCGGGTCTGTTTGCTTGTTTTGTTAGAGTGTTTTGATAATAATCATTTTATTAAACAGGGCATTGATCTTGCATTTTATCGTGCGACGAGCAAAAAAATGTCTGGATTTTACACTCACTTTATTCATAATTCATTTAATATTGGTTCGATTTTACATGGGACATGTACCAACAACATTTTCCTGGTGGCTTTTAAACATAATCTGTATAACAATCATGTGTATAACGGGCGAATATATTTGTCTTAAATCAGAATTGAAAGCTATTCCTTTGTTGGTTTCCAACAAAGTCAATTCATTGTGATCTGGGTTATTATAAAACTTGTTACAAAAAACAAAAATAAAATCAATAAAAACCAACATTGAATACATTTTAAATAATTATAATCCTGTCTTCCACCTGAGGATTTAAATGGCAAACATCATGATGATGATGGTGATTTATATTTGTTGAAATCAATTTCAGCGAATTTCGACGAATAGATGGTGGTTTTGTATTGGTTGCACTTGGCATTAATAATTTATATGCTTGCAAATATTCTGTGAAAGCTTGTAACAGTGTTAAACATTCTTCTGTATTTTTATAGATAGAACACTCTTTCAGAACTTCATAGCCATCTTTACCTTGTACAATAAATTCTTTGGTTATCATTTTATAGGATTTACTTTCAATCAATGGTTCATTTTGTATTCGTATGCTTTCCATATCGACACGAGACCCAGCCGGTTTTTTCGAATCAAATCGAAAACTAATACCGGAAACCTGAGGAAAACGTCCCTCGAATTTTGGAAATTGAGAAACACCATTCTCTAATGCCCGGTATATTTGTCCACCATCAATGTAAATGACTAATAATGATTCCATGTAGGGTAAGATATTGACCAAATCGCGCATTTTTAATGCACCTTTTGGATGAATTCGATCACTACGTAATGTTCCGGAATTGATTAATGCAAAATCAGCATCAGGCACAGCATAAAGCATAACGTCGGTAATAAGATTTCCTAGATTGGTTTCTTTGGTTCGTACGCTGGCAAATCGGCCATCAAGATCACAGTCAATTATGGCAATAGTGTCTTCCATTTTTTCTTCCAATACAGTTTTGAATTTATCCAATTCAACAACCAATTCAGCATCCTCATCAATATCCGATGTGATATTCATTTCATCGACTTGAATGTCGACAATTTTTTTCTTTTCGTGATCATAACATAGAACGATTTTACTGAATTGTCGAAAATCCGATCCACTTTTGATCACTAGCTTTTGATTGATTTTACGAATTTCATAAACATGATCATGTCCACCAAGAAACAAATCGATCTCATCAACTTGTTCGGCCAAACGTATATCATTATATGTTCGCATATGTGTCAATGCTATCACAATATCAACACCATCCTAGAAAATTTCAATCATTTTATAACATTTTTTCATTTTTCTTTTCCAAAATTACCTCTTCCTTAAGATATCGTGCTAATCGACGTCCTTCGATAACGAAATCCGAATATTCAATATCATCTTCGTCCAGTACGAGTGTTGATAACCATTCTTCTTCGATCAACCCTATCAGCCCAATCTAGAGAACAATCAATATGAGAACAAGTATTGTTTAATTGTCATCACTCATTTACTTTGAGATTTCCTTTTTCAATAATGCAGGAAATTTTTCCGCCACCAAGTGGTTGGCCAGTATTTTTATCAATGACATTGCTCATTAACCATGGAAAATTTGTTCGTTTCACAAACGATAACAGACATTCAAGACCAAAATCTATTTTTCAGAAAAAACGTTATTAGATCAAAATTAATGGAGATGGAAAAATCCTCACCGAATTCATGATTGCCAAATAAGGCACAATCAACATTACAACGTTCCAAAACGGGTAACATTTGTTCACCTTTGGTGAATGAGCTCACTGTTGAAATTGAAATTGATAAATCATAATCAGAATAATATAAATCAACAACACTTACTAATACTTGGAGAGATGATATCGCCACTGAACAAAGTTAATGGATCCAGATGATCAAATTGATGTAATGCATGAGCAAAACGCGCAGCACCACCAACAGGTTCTTGATCACAAGGTTCAACATTATAACAATCATTAAAATGTAAAATGCATAATGTGGATGGTGATTTACATTCGCTGCAATCAGGTCCAACCATAGTTTATTTCATTCAATTCAAAAATTCAAAAACCACCAAAATCTAAAATCCTAATCAAATTTATTTAGCCAGAGATTCTAGTGAATAATGAGCAAAAAGAATGAAAAATGTTTTATGATGGCAAAAGTTAATCAGTCGACCATCTTAGTTAGTTAAGGAGAAGACACCCAACAACACACTTTCGTTTTATTACCAATAAGCGGGCTTTGCTTGTTCAAATGATTTTTATATAACACATTCTTGTCATTTTATTTTTGGATAATGAGAGAGAGAGAGAGAGAATGGAGAGTGATGAGTGAGGATGGAAAAGAAATGAAATTAAAGTTGGAAAACGTTTTCCTTGGTTAATTCGTGTTCAATGACATATCCCGTCACCATAAAACATTCAATGCCATCAATCTTAGTCTGTTCAAATCAAATCGACAAAAAATAGGTTACGGAAATGATAATTTAATTTTCTCATCAATTTTTATTATTTACAAACAAATCCAATTTACAAAATATTAATCAAATTTCATTCATTATCTAATCAAATTAAATTGATTTTCTCATTTTTTCATTTGATAAATATTCGCACATTCGAATGTTGAAACTAAATCAACATTTGGAGAAATTTTCCCAAAAAAAAATTGAGGAAAATTTCCTCATAACATCACATTGTATATGTATGACACACCAGCAAGCAAACAAACAACTGTGTGTGTGTGATTTGTATGCTTCTTTCTTACACACACTTGAAATAAGTGATGATAATGATGAGTTGTGTTGCTGTGTGCTTTTGCTGTGCTGTTTCTTTGTATCTTTATTGAGATGAGCTTGTGCTGGTGATTTCGTTCTGTATGTGTGTATATGTGTGTATGGCAAATGTGTATGGCGTTACTTGAAAAACAAACCAAAATCGAGTATACTGTGTGTGTGTGTGTGTTCGGTGTGTCTTCACATTTTCACAATTCTTCAATATTCAAAAAGACAAAAGAAAATTATTAAGGTTTTTGTGGAAGAAAACAAACTCAAGTTTAAAGTGGTGATATTTTGATCATGAATTGAACTGATTTGAATATTAACTGATTTTTTAAGAAATTTTTTTGCTTCATTTTTTGTTTTGTTTTTATTTTTGGTACATTTCAAAAAATAAATAATCATCATTTTCTTCACCTGTCCATCTCAACAAGAATTTCAAAATCAACAACAAAGCAATTCTCAACATCCATTCATCCATAAATCAATCAAATTTTGAAAAAATTTCAAAGCAAGTAGACATTTGTTGCCACCACTACTGCCAACTCATGTTGATCATCCAATGATGGTGGTTGATTATAAGATGACTTGTTAAATTATCAATAGTCATCATCCAGAAAAAATCATTCAATGACATTCGTTTCAACCGATGATGATCAGCTTGTACTGAGAGAAAACATAAAGTTTGAGTTGATTGAATGAGAAATAATATTGTTTGTGGATGAATGATATATGCAATACTGGTCAATCATCATTCAGCATTGATTGGATGATTTTGCATTGATTTGGATGGATTTCATCGATATGGAATTCATCAAGCAAACGGATCAAAATCAATCCGTTATGACTTCTGGGAGCGGAACAGCGACCACCTCGTCGTCATGTTCGTCATCATCATCGTCATTAGAAGAGACGTCCTATTTCATCGAATCAATCAGGCATTCGAATGTTACACCAACACTGATAACAGCTTATCTAATCAAATTATGTGATTCCAAAATTAACTGTACAGAAGATTTATTAATCAAATTTGCCAACATTATTGTTGAAAATTTAATCTGTGAATCGCCACTAAGTGAAATTCTTCGTCAATTAGATTCGGTGGATTTTTATAAAAAATTATTCAATCATCAACAATTTGATTTCAACAAATTTCTCATCGTTTGTCGTTATCTGTGCTCATCGGACAAACAAGGTATTTTGCTTTATCATGGTTTTGTTTTCCACAAAAAATCATATCTTTCCTTTGATTTCAGGTTTGGACATACTTGGCCTAACATTTTTCTCAAAAGTTTGGAAAAACAATGCTCATTTTCAGCAGCAAGTCATTCGTTATTGTATCGTGTCGGACTGGATACAGCAGATATTGAGCAAATGTACGCATCCTACATTGATTAAAAAAGTGCCTCAAATCGAAAATCTGAAATGTCCCATGGAATATGAAACTGATTGTCAAATATATTGTTGGAAATATCAATGCTTATGTCAAATACTATTGGATCTTTCCGATTCCAATCAACTAACGCGATCGTTTGTTGAGGAGATATTTTTCACACCACTGAATAAATGTCCCGATCTGCTGGTATTTGCATTGATCGAGTGTCATGGTAATCATGGCCTCAAAGAAACGGTTCTCATCAAAGCTTTGTTGAAATTCATCTGTGTCAGCCACAATAATCCAAATCCCAATGCCACATTGATCATACAGAAAATTTGGCCCACAGATTTCGTTTATACACCCAAAACTATTCTGACATGGGCCCAAAAATCATTACTTACAGCAATGGTTGAACTTTATACATCATCATCTCCCGAAGAACAATCATATAAACTTTCCAAGATTCTCGATCTTTCGCAAGATCTGAAAGTGTTAAATGTTTTGCTTTCAAGTAATACTTATTCATTTGTTATTGATTTGGCTTGTTTTGCATCACGACGCGAATATCTTAAACTTGACAAGTGGTTAAATGATAAAATCACGCAAAATGGTTCACAATTCATCGAAGCTTGCATACAATTTTTGAAAAAAAGATGCGCTATATTTGGTGCAACCGAACCGGCAACATTTTCTCTGCCCAATGAAACGTATCGTATCATATTGAATTGTCTTCGTCATCATGTTTCCGATTCACCAAAATCAATGATCGAATTGGAAATAATGAAAATGTACACAAGATTCAACCAGTGGGCTAATCCCAATCAATTCAACGTCAATTCTCAGCAATTACCAACACCAACAACCGTCATGAAGCCTAATCAATTTGATTCAGTTGCAGGATCTCATTTGTTTGGCGAAAATCCTGTTCGCAGTCCACAGCTAGCCAACAGCAATGCTAATCAACAACAACAACAACCTTACAGTCCTGAAACAGAAGAAGAATTCACAAAGGATATTGAGGAAGAAGCCGATTCTTATTTTCAAAGAATTTACAATCAAGATCAACCAGATTCATTAACTATTGATCAATTTCTGGATATGTTGAAAAAATTTCAGGAATCTTCTTTGAAAAGAGAAAAAGAAATTGCCGCTTGTATGATAAGAAATTTATTCAAAGAATATCCATTTTTGCCACAATATCCGGATAAAGAATTGGTCATTACTGGCGAAATATTCGGTGGTATCATTTTGAATAATTTTGTCAAAGGTCTTACTATGGTCAATGCATTACGTTGTGTAATGGATGCCCTCAAACGTACCGAAGCATCGGCTAGATATTTCATGTTCGGCCAAGCCGCATTGAATAAGTTGAAAACCCGTCTAAAAGAGTTTCCTCAATTTTGTAATCATCTTTGTAATATACCTGCTTATCGTGATTTACCACCCATCTTGATCGAATATATTGAATTCGCTAAACAAGGTATGAATCCGCCATCGTTAGCACAAAATCATCGTATTACACTTTTAAACAATCAAAATAAAATGAATCAATCGAATGATCAACCACCACCACAACAACAATTGGAAATTCCACCAAGCGCTTTCCAGGATAAAGTTGCATTCATTATTAATAATCTTTCCCAAATGAATATTGTCAAAAAGGCGGATGAGTTTAAGGAATTATTCCTGAAGGATAAAGATCAATATTTTCAATGGTTTTCGCATTATTTCATCATGAAACGTGTTGGTTTGGAATCCAATTATCACGAATTATATGCTTCATTCATGGTCAAAGTAAATCTATCTGATTTGTCGGCAAAAATCCTGATTGAAACTTATCGCAACATCAAAGTTTTATTACGGTCCAATAAGGAAACGGATAATTTTCAGGATCGAACATTACTGAAAAATCTTGGCAATTGGCTGGGAATGATAACATTGGCACAGAATAAACCAATCCTCACTCGAAATTTAGATTTGAAAAATCTATTGATCGAAGCTTTTCATAAAGGTCAACTGCAAATGTTTTTCATTGTGCCGTTTGTGACGAAAATATTGATGGGAACATCGAAATCAAAAGTTTTTCGTCCGCCATGTCCATGGACAGTTAAATTGATCAAAATTTTGGTCGAATTGCATAGTATTCCGGATTTGAAATTGAACCTCAAATTCGAGGTGGAAGTTTTATGCAAACATCTGGAATTGGATATCAATGATTATGTGGGAAAATCGCAAGATTTAAAAAATAAAGAATTATTCATGAAATTAGAACCACAACTCGGTGCTGCACCTATTCCTCGACCCAATTTCATTGCGAATAATATTGGTGGATCGGTAATAGAACCAAGCGTTCAGTTACATCAATCGTCCATGCATTCAACCATTGATAATAATCTAATACATCCGCAGGCAGTTGTTGCCTCGGCAGCGAACGCAACAGGTGTAAATCAGATGCAAAATTATAACGAAATCAATGTAAACAATATTTCCAATCTTTCACAATCGATTATTATACAACCAAATCTGCAGATTATAATGATGAATCCACAACATAAAAACTTCATTCGTAATCTGATTGAAAAATGTGTGCAAGATTGGATAACATTTGTATCGGATCGTGTGATCAAAGTTTGTATGGTAACCACCGAAACATTGGTGAAAAAAGATTTCGCCCATGAACCGAATGCCGAATTGATGCGTAATGCTGCACATAAAATGATGCGTTCCCTGGTTGCTGGATATTCATTGATCAACACTCAAGAACCGTTGCTTAATCGAATACAAATGTCACTGTTGAATTATTTTCTGGGAAACCAGATGAAAGTTACGAAAGAATTGATCGATTCAACCATACAAACATTGATTAATGATAACCTGGAATTGTGTGTTTGTTTTGTACAGAAAACATGCATCGAACGTGCTATCGAAGAACTGGACAAACGAATGAAACCAGATTTCGAAGCTAGACAAAAAAATTCAGCCGATGCTAATAGCAAAAAGAGTTCATCGATAAGTATGAAGCAACTGCAAATCTATGAAGAAATGGGAAGAAATATTGCCGGTTTCAGTTCCAATCAATCATCATCGTTCTATTCGCCAATCGATAATCAATCGGCTAAAGCTATGAATTATGGAAATGTTAATGTTTTATCCAATGTAACCGCTGCACACAACAACAATAATTATCCATTGATTCACAATGAACATAATGCTGCTGCAACATTGAACGTGAATCAAGCAAATCAAGTTCATATTGATGCATTTGTTGTCATTTATGATAAATTAATCAAACATCTAAGCGAATTGATTCAAGAATTCGAGTATGTTCATTACACAACTGAAGCAATGCATCAGGTACTGGAAATTCTAAAAGTATCCAAACAAAATCCCCGAGATCAAGGTACAGCCGTCAGTTTGATCAAAAATGTTATCAATGGTCTTCGGGAATTGCTGTTGAATGCTGAAACTGGTGTCACCGACTTGGCTGTCATATCACGTGCCAGAGATTTTTATCTGATCCTTCTCAAAGCTCTTGCCGATCAACGAGCCTATAATCTTCGCTTTACAACATTGAATGTAACCCGTTCGGTGCTTGAACATTGGATAGCAATGAATACATCGTTTCCGGACGATCTTTTCGACATACTTTATCGTCAAGATTTGATAAATCTTAATTTTCTGGACAATGAATTTTATCAGATATTGGAAAATGGTTCGACAAGTTTTCCGATGGTTTTGAATTTTCTGAAATATTATCTGAATAGCATTAATTCTAATAATTTCCAAACAACATTGGATCTATTGCAGCGAATTGTTGCCATGAAAATGAATCAACAAAGCCCCACCAATACCCAACTGATCATCGAATTGAAGCATATTCTTTCGCTGGCTAGAATCAATATCAACCCCAATCAATCCAATAATAATGATATGATGGAAGGTCCCATTCTTGAAACAATCGTCAAGGAATGGATACGATTCTATAATTCGAAAGATATCAACAGCTCGTTTCCCATTGTGGTGAAAACTATGAATGCACAGGTAATTTGCCTACCTCAATCTAATTAGTTGAATTTAAAATTATTTTGCTTTTCAAACAGGGTGTTCTCAAGAATGATGAATCGATTTCAAATTTTTTTAAATTTTTTCTCGAATTCTGCATTGAACGTTGTTATCAAATAATATCGTATGCTGATCAACATCCAACATTTCCATTGAACAACATTCATCTGAAATGTTATGAATTTATTGATTCCTATTCTGTATTGGTCATATTGTTCATCAAACAAAGTGGTAATCAGGGAAATTTGGATCAAAAATTTCAATTTTTATTGCGTATTCTGACAATATTGGCTACCACGGCTTATCGTGATCAGGAAATTCACCAAAAGGATTTTTTCTCGCTAACTTACTATCGAATCATTTTGTCGATTTTTATCGAATTTTTTTATTCGCCATTGAATCTTGGCTTTCAAGAATTGGTTGTCAGCAATGATAACCTGTTTGAAGTTTTCAAATTTCATTTGGTGCGCAATTACTCCAATTTTCTACATCAAATGTGTCCATCCAAAATACCATCATTCACATTTGCATGGTTGGATTTTATTTCGCATCGAATTTTCATGGAAAAATGTTTGGACAATAGCCCCCAGATTAATCACAAAACCTGGCCACTTTATGCTGCTCTATTGACTGATTTATTACTTTTTCTCAAACCAATCCTTCAGAATATGGATTCTTTCATTGTCAATTGTAATATGGAGCTTCACAAGGTAATTTCAATTATTTAACAAAACACTTTTTAATCAAATATCAATACTGTTTTTTGTAATTTCAGGGAACATTGAGATTATTTGCAATTTTGTCGCATGATTTCCCCGAATTTTTATGTGAATATTGTTATAATCTGTGCGACATTATTCCAATTCGTGCTGTACAACTTCGAAACATTATTCTCAGTGCTAATCCGATCAATATACCGGATGTCTCCAATTTGAAAGTAGATAATCTCTATGAAATCATACCACCGGTTCGAATTCCCAGCACATCACTTTGCGATCAATTACATTATTTTCAAAAAGAATTGGATAGCTATCTACTTCAACGCAATCCGAATAATTTTCTTATTGAATTGGCACAAGGTTTAAGCGCAAATCTATTGAATGTTGAAAAGCAATCCAGTTCAACGACAATGATCAATGCATTAACCTTATATATTGGTATATCGGCTATTCAAACCAGCAAAACGGTAACAATCAACTCGATTCATAATTCTGTTCATTTGGAAATCTTTCAACATTTACTGATGAATTTTGATTCCCAAGGTAAATTAGGCTTGTCATTTAGGTTTGTTTTAATAATTTAATTTAATTTGAAAGGTCGCTATATATTGATCAACTCGATGGTCGATCATTTACGTTATCCAAACAATGAAACCCTGTTGTTCATCTGTTTGTTGTTGACATTGTTCAAGGATAATAATGAGCACATTCGTGAACAAATAGTGCGTGTATTGTTGGAGCGTTATATTGCTCATCGACCGCATCCATGGGGTGTTGAATATTTGATAAATGAATTGTTTCGAAATCCTAATTACAAATTATTGGAACATAATTTCATCAAATGTGTACCAGAAATTGAGAAATATTTTACACGATCAACATAGACATCAAACAAATATCATCGATCTCGATTAACTAATGCAACAACAAGTCTAATTCAATTTTGTAAATATTCAACAACAATCATCGAATGAAGAATAAGATGATGATGGTGGTTATTACATTTGTTTATAATTTCATTTTATGTTTTTTTTTTGATGCAAAATATGTCCTTATTTTGTTTATTTTCTCACACACATTTCTTCTCTAATTGATTATTTCGCATTTTTGAATTCTAAACTAAACTAAACTTGAAAAATTTTGTCATATTTCATTTGTTTCTTAAAAATTGTGTATAAGCGATAAATGTTAATTTGCTATGATGGATTTATCATCTTTTATTATTAATTTTCTATAGTAACCATTTGTAATCAACAACAACAATCCTATATTACAAAATATCGATTATTAACAAACTGATTATTCATTATTATTCATTCACACTATTTTCAAATCAAATCGAATCTCTCGTGTTTTTATTTTTTCGTTATGGTCATTCGATCTGCGCATTATTTTTGTTGTTTATAATAAAAAAATTTTGCTCGAAAATTAATTTGTTTTTTTTTGTTGAAAATCTTTTTGGATTTGGGTCGATATTCGCAATGACGATGAAAATTGATTGTTTTTTCTTTTACAAATTGCTTTTGTTTGTTCCTGTTGTCTGTCGATCATTTTGATCGGTTTCTATGCGATTGTTTTTTCAAATTAATTGATCATCATCATCCATGACATGTCAACAAAAACATTAATGCAATGGTCGATCGATCTGCGCTTGTGCATCAAATAATATTTCGTTCCTCAGCTGAACTGAAATGGCCAACAAAACTTTTGACAAAAGAGTTTAGTGGTTTTATATTCATTTACTGCTGGTTTTAATTTCATTAAAATCCAAAATCAAAATTATGGCAAAATTGTCATCATCTTCACCAACGCCACGGCCGACACTGTCCGAAAATGAATCCCGATTAATTGAAGCTGTTCAATCAAATTCATTGGATAAAGTGGTCAACATTTTGAATGTTGTGGATGATAGTGAATCAGCACCAATCAATATTAATTGTCAAGATGAAAATGGCATGAGTCCATTACAGCATGCGTGTTTCAAAGGCAATTTGGAGATTGCAAAATACCTGATTGAGCGTGGTGCCAATGTCAATCAAAATGACCATGAACATCGTTATACTTGTTTGATGTTTGCTGCACTTGGTGGTCATAGAACAATAATACAATTATTGTTGGAAAATGGCGCAAATATTGAACAAAAAAATAGTGTCGGTCGCAATGCATCACAGATGGCTGCATTTGTTGGTCAACATCAATCGGTAGCGGTTATCAATAATTATATTTCCCGGGAATTCATTGAATATTACAGCCGTTTGAATGGCCAGGAAAAAGAACCAAGACTGCCGATACGATTTATACCGACAATGCATTCATTGGTTTGTTTGGTTGCTGTCAACCCTGTACGTATTGCCTATTTTTTCGAATCAAATCTATCGATATTTGAAGAAGTGAAAAAGATCGATATTGTCATGGATCATATTTGTGAGAAATTATTCCGATCGAATGAGCCAAACGAAATGTTATCATTGAAAATTCATTATTTGAATTTCATATTCAATCTATTGAATAATGCTCTCCAAAAAGCTAAATCATCAACAGAAACCGAATTGGATTCGACAGCCATTCGTAAAGTATTTCATAATATTATCAAATTTTGGTTGAAACCAAACGCCAAAAATTTCCCCGAAAATATGGAACGATTATTGCGACAGGCTATTCGTTCGTATACATATCAGGAGAATGCATTGTTTCAACAACTAGTCCGAACATTGTCAACAATCGAAATCGGTGAAGAGCCAAGTGCATTGTCCGTTCTAAGTCAAACAATATTGGGCAAAGCAATCGGTATCGAGGAAAATGATACATGCTTCACATGTTCAGAATTTAATCCAAACAAACGATGCTCCCGATGTAAAAAAGCTACATACTGTGATGAGCGTTGTCAACGATTGCATTGGCCTGTTCATAAACGAGTATGTAATGAAGAGGAACCAGTTGACAATGATCATAATATCACTAAGCTAAACAGTCACAAAGCTGACGATGATGGTGATGATAATGAAGTGGAAATCAACGACGACAAATTACTATCAGAGACAATTGTCGACAACCAAAACGATCAATGATATGGTTTCATCAACCATATCTTTTCCACGAAAGAGTTTTTTTTTGAGATCAACCGACAAATCGTTCCAACTTTGACTGATAGAAAGCAACAACAACAAAATTACAAACGGGAGAGATAGATATATTTGACACACAACTATTGTGAATCATGGAAAACAAAATCAATTATCATTTGTGCACACTATCAACCATAAACCTTTTATCTTTGAAAAACAAAATTTTAAATAAAAAAGTAAAAATTGAAATTTTCAAAAACATAATATCCTGGTTGGTAGATGATGGCACAATGAACAGTATCAGTGTTTCAGAATCATTTCCAGGAAATGATCCAAAATTTTACAATCAAACAAGAATAGGCGCCATTCAGTACGAGGACTTGAATTTTCAGATGATACAAAAAAGATGAATGAAACAAAATTTGTCAAGCATGAATTCAGATTGAAAGATTCAATTTTATTGATTTTCTCTTCGCTAATTTCGCTATAAATTATGGTTGAAGCTTGCTGCGATTGATTCATTTCCAATTCTAATCGGATCGATTGATGATCAAACCAAATCATTCAATGTGCAAACAGTGTGTGTCTAGATTTTTATAAATACAGTGTTTGTTTGTAATTCTGTTTGTTGTAATTTGTGAATCACCAATAATGAGAGAGATTATCAAATTATTAATTTGGTGTTTTTGTTGTTGGGCAACACTATTCAACCTCGTCGAATCAACCCGTAAAGGTGGTGATATATTAATATTAAAAGGGGGCAATGGTGGCTATGGTGGTGGTGGCTGTGGACATGTTTTTCTCAAAACTGGTCATCGAAAAAAAGGCGATATATTGATTATTGGCGGTGATTGTAGACATCATGATGAAACACATTATATACCTATTCCATACAGTATTGGCTACGGGGGTTACGGTGGTTATGGTCATGGTATGGGACATGCAGACCATGAGGATCATGGCGGCGGATATCGACGTTGAACACCATAATGTTCGAAATACGATACTGTCGATTTTTCAAAAACAACATGCATATCCTCCTTTATAAATCAATAATTTTTTTGTTTAATTTCAAAAATTCATAATCCAAATTTCTTTATCTCAATAGGATTTTTTTTCATTTTGTTCAATTCACCAAAAATAATAAAAAATGAAAGTAAAAGTTTGTCATTAAAAACATTGAATTGAATGAGTTTTGTCTTTTACTCTTTTTTTTGAATGAAATAAAATTCACATCCCGTTTCACATCCTTTTGTTCTGTTTCATTATGATGATGACAACGAGAAAATGGAAAGTTTGTTTCTTTTTTATTCAAAAAAATGCATGTTTTAATGATCTATTCGGGTGGCGTTCAAAGAAAGATCACCAATTCAATTCATCATAATCAATGCTCATCTCGTCCATCAATGTCAATGCTTCGGAGGTCTATTTTTTTGCAGAAATTCAATGTGACAACTCATAGTAAATTAGTGTCAAAGTTGATCAATAATTGCATGCAACAGTAGTTTTCAACCGAATAATTTTGATGATGCTACCAGTGACGACATGGTGAATGTGACATTCATTTTTTTAGGCGAAGAAAAAAACGAAGATGAAAAAAACAAACCCTTTGATCATGTACGACAAAGATCGATTGTTTTTTTTTCGTCCGGTACGAAAAGGGCCTGGCATCCCTTGAAAAACACATAATCAAAATGAATGAATGAAGAAAAAAAATTGTAACCTTTTCTCTCTCTCATTTGACATGTGTGTATCCTTTTTTTCTATCCATATGACCATATGTGTCGATCTAGTCGACTTGTGAAGACAATTTGATCGATCTCATCTTCTTTTTGTTTTGTTTATTTTTCCTATTCAGGTCTTTCACTGTCTTATAGATAAAAAAGAAACAATCGATGCTGATGATGACTTGGCCAGCCAAAAGAAAAAAGATCTAACCCAACAACGAATGATCAACGGTAGTGTTCCGTGCATCTGTCAGAAGATGCAAGATTTTATTTCTTTGCTTCTCCGCGGAAAAGATATTCAATCAAATTACATTACATCATCTAATTCATGTGGAAATTATCTGAACAAAAATTAAACTGAATTTTGTTTCTCATCATCAATGAGTTATTTAAATTACCCTATACACAAACCTCGAAAAAAAATTACCCGAACCAAACCAATAAAATGTCATCATAGTAATCGATCAAAATAAAATTTTTTTTCAATAAAAAGTTATATGAAAGGGTGTTTTGTTTTTTTTTAAATTTTATTTTTTATTAAAATTTCCATGTCAATCGAAGAAAAGAAGAATCAAAAAAAATGAATATCAAAAAAATTTATCCATTATGAAGTGATGAAGGAAGTGTTTGTGGAGTGAGTGAGTATTGTGTAACGTAATTTATGAATGATGGAGTTCAAAACAAATAATGATGAAAAAAATTTTGTGAAATTTTGAATGAAAATTAATATTTGCCAGAACACATTTAGAGAGGATGAATTGGTTGATGATTTTTGCAAAGAATTAATTAATGAAGATGATGATAATGATGATTATTTTTGAATTGAACGTCTTCGTCGATAATATCCACCACCGCCACCGTGAGAATATCCACCGCCTCCACCACCACCATGATACATTGGATATGGTACATAACTATAGGATGGTTCGCTATGTCCTTCACAATTGTTGATAATAATCATTTCTCCGCCACCTTTTTTACCACCTTTTTTGCCGTTGGATTTATATAATAATGCTGGACCACAACCAGATTTACCGCCAATTATAAAAAGATCGCCACCTTTTTTATCGCCGGCTTCGATCATTTGAAAAATCATGACGGATAATATGATGTATATCATGCAAACACCACCAAACATGATGGACATTCCATTATTATATTTGAACATTGTTTTCTTTTGTTGATTCTGAGGTTATTGTTGATTTGTATTCAAAAAACAAATAACACAAAAAAACTAGCACAAAAATGGATGAAATTCATCAAGCAAACAAATGAAATGATTGAGTGTTGAGAAACGGCGTTTTTATAGTGGAAAATTGTTACCATCATCATATATTATTCTCCAAATGTTGTTGGAGGGGGAAAGAGATGATAATTGTTGTTTTTTGTCGTTTTCGTTGGATAATGGTTGATATGATTGGAATAATTAACACTCACACCATATATTCATTTGCCATATAGAGCAATAATCTTTTTCATTTGAAATGATGATCATCCAGTTAAGAAAAGAGAGATATAAATAGATAGTATAAGAAGAAGGGGAAAAAGCGAGAAACCGAAGAGAGAAGAAGAGGAAAAAGTTGAATGGATCCATTTAAAATCATTATGCAGCAACTATCCTGGTTGACGGTCCATGACATGCAGATAAAATTGAATCAAATGCTTATGGATATATCATTTCGTTGTTGTTGTTTTGCCCAAATCCTTTGGGTAACTCTAATTACATACATCAACCAACCAACCAATTGCGCATACCTGTGGCATTATTTGTTGTGTTATCATTTTTTCGGGAAAAACAAAAAACAAATTAAAATCCCATTGGATCAAGGAAGTGAGGATCGTAAGTCACATCATCATCATACCATAAATAACAATTGATTTGCTTGTTGTTTTTGCATACATTCATTTATCAAATTATTTGTTTGTACTATCATTATTTTCCACTTTTGTTTCATATTTTTTGTTTCTTTTCAAAAAATTTCCGGTAAATTTTTTTCCGGTAAGAAAAAACAACACCAATCAATTAATCTTTTTGGTAATTTGTTTGCCAAAACTTTTATCATAATGTTTCTGGAAAACTTTTTGCCGAAAAAATTTCTCATTCAATATTGAATATAACCGATCAAGCCGAATTTTGTTTGGCTCTTGCTCTTGAAACATGCATGCATCTCTAATGAATTGTATAATTGTTGATCGACAATGACACATTCTCCGGTTACATCTGTCATCTCATAATAATCATAATAGTTTCCTTTCGGACATTTTTTTCTCAACCAATCAATTCGCTTTTGGTGTACATAAAAAAAACAGGTTCAGTTTTTTTCCACCACCATCATCATTGCATTCAGTGACAACCGAATCCAAATTCAAATCAATCAAATTAATTTTTTTCATTTCTTTTCTTTTCAATATATGTTTGTAACCCTTTCTTGTTTGATTTGTTTCTGGTTGTCTGTACCTTTTGGGTATGTAGAAAAAATGAACCTGCTCGGCTTTCGATCCGATTTCGATCGATTAACTTGGTGGTTGTAAAAGATTTTTTGCATTTTCATTTTTTTTGCATCATTTCGGTTCTCACCCAACCAATTTTCAGCAGTTCGAACACATCGGTTCATTCATTCATCGATGATATCAAATACCGTTGGTTGAATGGATAAATGAATCATTTGCAAGCAAAAAAACAAATCCTTTCAGCAAAAAAAACTTGAAATGAAACAGAAACAAAATGAATGACTATAAGCTCATTTTCAACATCAATTGACATAAATTATTATTAATGAATAACATATAGCTGGCAAAGAGATGCTTGACTGTTTGAATTTGAAATTTTTTTTTACATCAAAATTGAATTTTTTTTTTCGTTTGCTTAATTCAACTCTTTCTTTCTTTCGATCGGATCAAATCTATTTCATACTTAATCGATTGACAAAACTTTTTTTTCGAGTTTTTTTATCAATTTTTTTTCATTCAATATGAAATTCGACGAGAAATTGAAAAAAATCGTTTTTGTTAATCGAATGCCGCCGGTATTTAGTTATTGATTGGCCAATGTGAACCCTGAAATTTTTTTCGAAAAAAAATAGAGTTTTTTTTTCTACACGTGCTACAGTGAAACACATTTTTTTCTAAATTGGCTGAATCCATTCATTCCATTCATTGATTTCATTCTTTTACCTAAGCGAAATATTTTTTTCCAAAAGAAAAAAATAAAAATGAAAAAAATAATGGACATTTATTATTATGGTCGTCACCGATCAACATATCACCCATCAAATCAAACCAACGAATTTATTTATTGTCCATTTGCATCGGTGAATAGCATCTGTGTTGTTTTTCGAATATATTTCCAGTGTGAAAGCCATTGTGTGATATGTAATTTGAATTATCGTTTATCAATTTTTTTCAATATCTAATGGGGAGAGAGAAAAAAAAATGTCATCATCAATGAATCAAGGAAGAAGAAATAATATATTTTTACGACCTTAAAGGTTATCTTCATTTTCTTCTGTTGTTGAATTCATAAATAAAATAAATTAATAAATAAATCCTAACCAACAAACCAAATCGATCCCCATCATTTCCGTTTTCTTATTTCTGAATGGTGATAAGAAAGCAACAACAGCAGAACAAAATCACATCGATCACTAATAATAATTACAATCGATCCAAAATGATTACCTTTTTTCTTCTTTCTTCTTCCCGAACAAATTTTATGGCCCAAAACGATTATCATTATCTTTTTTTCTGGTTTGTTTTCTGTTAATATGATTTTTTAAGTATCAATACAAGTGGATTGTTGGGGAAAACACACAAAAATATTAATATCTATAACAATGATTCAAAAATCCGATCAGGTTTTGCAACAAATATAAAATATTATTATTATTCGCATAAAGGTAACAACAACAAATCTTTACAACAAAAAATTGATTGTTCATTCCATTATTTTTCTTTATTTTGTTTTTCATTTCCCCAAAGTTTTGTTGCTCGAATATTTATTGCATTCGAATTGGACATCATCTCATTTCCAATGTTTTTTCATTTTTCCCTGTTCATCATCCATCGTCTTCCTCGAATTCAGAGAACAATTATTATTACGATTTCGGTTTATTTGTCCTATTTGAAGTAACATTTCAATTTTTTTCATAACAAATAACCAATCGGTTATAATCATAATAATAAATTCACCCATAATAAATATGACATGCAGCAGCAGCAAAATAACCAAATAACCAAATAAACATCTTTATATTTTTGTTTGGAAGAGATTTCCTTGAAATTCATCCCTTTTTTCGAAACGAGGGGGTTATTACTTTTTGTGGAGAAATGGTCTTTTAAAGGTCAGGCTGAATAAGAAAATCTTTGGATTTGAAAACAAATTGCAATTTTTTTTGTTGTTAGTTGCACAACCTCAACAACGACAAACAAACAAACACAAGCCTCAATCATCATGTCAAATGTCAATATTGTCAAATTGAAATTCAACAAAAAAATTTCAATTTTTTTTCTAATAAAAATTGTCAATATTTTTTTCCCTGTTGTTGTTGTTTTTCCTATTCAATCGATTAGGCTGCTTGATGGTCGTTGTCGTCGTCGTCGTCGGGTAATGTATTATCAACCAAAAGCTTAAAGTAATATTTGTTTGATCGGTAGCACGACCTTTGACCTGAATTTTTAAGCAAAAAAAAGATTAATCTTGATTTAATACCACACAAAAAAATCAGTATTTGGTCTGTAAGATGAAAACAAAACAAATTTTCAAAATTCAAGATCAAGTCAACAAACACAACCAAAATGAAAAGACTTATGAGATCTGGATCGATCGATTGGATTGATTTTCGCCCACAACAAATAGCATCACCAATTCATTTTTTCAATTGCAAAAAGATATCGATCTTGAAACCATATTTTCAATCAATAATGTTTTGTATTCTGATTAGCTGTCTATCAACCAAGGAATTTTGATGAATTTTCTGATGAACTTTCAAACAAAACAAAACAGATGTCCATTTAGTGGGAAAAATAATCGAAAAGAAAAATAGATTGTTAATCAGATTGATGATCCAGAAATCAAATCAAATAAAGAAAATTTACCTAATTCCCGATGGTGGAACACACGTCAGGTCATCATCATCATCAGGTAATCTATTTTCTCTGATGTCTTGTGACAAATCTCACCTTGCTATCTTGGATTTCAATCTTCTATCGTTTTCTGGTGACAAAATCTGATTTGTTTCGACTAATTATATAACAGAAACCGTTGTGTGGTTCATGAAAGGAACAAAACTTGGCAAATCTGTTTTGTTTTGGAGAACAAAAATATTTTTGACCGAAATAACAACAAATAACAATGATATAATGAGTTCAGGTATTGCGAATGCGATTTATGATTTCCCGTTTGTTGTTTTCGATATTGGTTGAATGAATGTTTTCATGTAAATAATGATAATGTTATGATGATGATGCACCAAAACAAAGATCAATTTTCTGCATTCGGACCATGATGATCGTTTCACCCAATGAATATCACATCATTAACTAAAATGATGATTGTTTTCCATATAGTAAATAAATCACATTAAAAAACAACATTCACATTGTATCGAAATGGGATTACTCGCCCATCATTTACACTTGGATTTATTTATTCATTCCTAAATGATGTGTCAAAGATCCTAAAGATAATGACCATATTGGTCACACACAAACACAATTTATGTGCTATTGCCATAATTATATTATATTGCAACCAACTAAGCAAATGAAATTAATGTTTTTTATGCTTCTTTCATTGACTATGTTGCATTAACTTTTTTGTTGTCAGTGATTATCATCATTTGATCATCGTCGTTATCAGTTTGACCAACAAGATTTTTTCCGAGGTAAAATCTATTGTAATGCGGTTGTTTGTTATTTGTTACATAGACATTCCTCTCTATTCATCTATTTTAGATCGATAAAATGAACAGAAAAGACATTTCATCTTGGGAACTTGCTTTGTTAATAGCCATTTTGGTTTTCTTTGCTACCCGAATTTGTTTTTTGTGATGAACATACCAAACAATTGGCAGCAGTAAAAAGACTACATAATAAAAGATGATTTGACGCATGAAATTAATGAATTATCTTTTCTTCTTTTTCTTTTTTCCTTTGAATTTGAGTTTGTCTCTTGTGACAATATGGGAAACTTTTTTTTGATTTTCATCTTTTGCATGGCAAATGGGATGGATAAATCGATCCGACCGGAGATTTTGTTTCCCATTCGAAAAGATTTGATTTTTGGATTTTTTCAATCACATCGTCCTCATCGATTGATGCTAAATCAAACATTCTAAAAACAAAAGTAAATATTCAAATTTCCATCAGACAATATCCATTTCGATTGATGTTTAAAGTAAACTTTTTAGATAAACAAAAAAGTCAAGATGATTTTTTAGCTGAAAACTGAAAAAACGGACAGGGAAAGACAAAGTTAACTGGAACACCACCATCACTAACTGAATTGATGATGATCATCAATTTACTAAGTGTGTTTTGTGTGGACTATATTTGAAACGGTTTCAAACAAACAAACAAATGATTATTTCATTCTTTTTCTCTGTGTCAAATGAAAAATAAAGGTCAAATTTTAAAGGTTAAATCTTTTCAATGAACAAAACTTGTGTGTGCAAACATCCGAATATGGCATAAAGAACGAAAGGTTTTCATTTTGTTGAAAAATTTTCGGGTTCAATCGATCGATCGGGATTCATCGATCTTTGCAGCTTTGAACAAACAAGCAAAAGTGTTGTGTTCATGCAAATCATAATAGAAAAAGTCATTTAGGATTTTTCTTCACTTCTTTTCATTCATTGTGCTCTTTATATTTGAATAGTCATCATTGAATTTTTTCAGATTCAAAAAATAATAAAGAAAAATCAAAATCATCATCATCAATTATTATTATTATTATGTAATGATACAAGCAAAATAATTTGTTATTTACTCATTTGAAACTAATTTTCATTATAAACTTATTATAACACCATTTTCGACTTGACAAATCTTTCCATTAACAAACACAGAGAGAAAATCTCATTTAAATATGAATTGAATTTTAACATTTTCACTTCACTCTACACTCACTAAGACTAACACTAACACGTTCATAAAAGAAATGAGATTTGGTTCAGGTATTTGATGATAAATGAATCATTATTATTGTTATTGCCATTACCATTATGATTATTATCGAATGAAATCGAAACATCATTTTCGATCGCGAATGGGAAAATTATTCATTTTTCAACAAAAAATTTGAATCACCCGTAGGGTGTAAAGGGTATATGCTGGATCGTTTTCACTGGAACATGGTGATGACCTTCAAATAAGTGATGATAAATTACCCGATTTGTAAAAATTATTTAAAAATAACACAACACAACACGCCTTGCAAAAATGTAAAATTTGCATTTTTCGAAATATCGCATAATAATGATTAAAAGCCTATCATTAATCAATAATCAATTTTTCTTGTTGTACATCGTTGACCCTTTCTATTTCTTTCTATACCCTTTTTGATCGAGATTTTGAAAAATGAATATTTTTTCACTGCAAAGTTTATCTAAGCATCATCATCATCTGCGTGTTTTGTTTGTTTGTTGATTGTATTGGAGATTTTTATAAAAACATGTTTTCAATGACATTAAAGGTCAAAACATATTTCATATTGAAAATATTGTGAAAAATTATTGATAAGAAAATGTTCAAATCAACAAGTCGCAATCGACAATCTGCTGGATATTCAAGCCAACAAAAACATCTAATGTTGAAAAAGAGTTTAATAAAATACTTGAAACATCATTCCAATAGATATTATTCCTTTTTCCGAATTGGATTTCTTTCAAACCGAAAAATGTTATTTACGATAAATACCTACATCACACACACAATTAGACAAGATGTTTAAAACATTTTTTTCAAAAAACCAAATTTTTTTACATCATCATCATTTGCAACAAAAAAATATATGAAATTGACATTAATGATATTGGCCTTGGTGTGTAATGCATCTCATATGAACACCGGTAATTTAGTCATCATGTTTTTCTTCGAATGTCTTTGATTTCACTGCCAAGAAATCAAACAAAACAAATGATGTAATTTAATATTATGTGAATATATTTATAATCATTTTTCTGCTGCTGTTTTGTTCAAATCAAATGTAATGAAAAATTATGGTGTTTTTTTTGGAGAAATTTTTCCAGTGAAAATTTATATTATTATTAAAATTAAATTGAAATCAAATTTAACAAACAAATTCGAAGGCTTGATTCGTTTAAATTATTCATTGTTGTTTTGTTGCTTTTGAGTGCAATTTTTCCAAAAAAATTTGAGCAACAAGCACCAGTGTGTTGCAAAAATCAGCCATCCAAAAAAACGAACCAAAGAAAAATCAAATTAATCGAACAAATTGTATGTTTCTGTGTCAATTGATGCCTCGATTTTTGTGACACAAAGAAAATGTGTGATTATTTGATTTGATTTTGATTTTCGTTGGAAAAAATCGGGTAAATGCAATGAATGCGTGGAAAACAAACTTCCGATTTATTCATTGGCCAAAATGAATTTTTAAAAAATCGATCGATGAGAGTTTTTTTGCTCGATTTTTTTTCGTCACCCAATTTATCCCAATCCAGGTAACACTTGATCGATCGATCAATGTCTTTGGGTCTATTTCGAAACCAAACAAACTAAACAACCACACTGGACATACATGCATACACGGATGAACTATTTTTTCAAATTCAGCAAAAAGAAAAAAATCAATTGAAAAATCCATCCATCGATTATTATGCAAAGCGAAAAAATGCTTTACTTTTTTGCACAATTTCATTGCCTGATTAGGTTTTTGAGTAATTATCAATTTTGCTTCATCTTTTGTTGTGTTAGTATGTTAACAACACATACTTATTGGTGTTTGTGCAGCACCGAAAAAAATCAATATCAAGATTCACACCGGCACAAACAACAATTTCGAATGTTTATTTGATTTTTCATTCTTTATCTCATTTTGTTCCCCCTCGATCTGCCCCTCATACACCCGGTGACAATAATTTGATTAATAACCGAAAAGAAAAACGTTTAAACATTTTTTTTGAAGATTTTGCCATTGAACATTTTGAAAATTTGACAATAACAACATGTTTTTTTTCATTATTATCCCAAAATAATCATCATCATAATAATCATTCAAAATAAAAAATGTGACAAGATTTTTCTTTGCTTGCTTCTGCACTCAATTCGGTTATTCAAAATGAGTTTTTCAAAACCACTTTTATTATTGTTGTTGTTTGGTTTTTCAAAATAATAAATAATTTTGTTTTTCACCGAAAAATTCACACAAAAGTTTTTTGTAAACGGATCGAATAACCGAATTAACAGCGAATTTCGTTTCGGGTATTATCGTTTCTGAATATTTGGAAATAAACTGTTACACTGACCGAATAATGCCGAATGATGATGATTTGTGTATTGGCTTGATTTTGATATGGCGTAATTATCACACTAAATAATCATAATCCACCAAATAAATCATGTCATTATTGAAAAATTTTCCAAGTTTTTTCTTTCCAAAAATTGAAATGTGTGATAAATTGAAGTGTGTCGGTGGCAACAAAAAAAATTTGTTCAATTTTTTTGCTTGTAATTCATTCAGTCAGAATATATTTCGGTTGTTGATTCGAGAAACCATTGTGATTTTTTTTTGCTTGGTAAGTGATTACGGTATTTCGAAATAAACTTGTTGAATTTTTGCTGTTGGTGCCTTGTGTTTTTGGTGGACTTTGGCCTAAAGGCAATTCAACAAGTTTATTTCTGGTTTTTTTTCTTTTGTCGCTTATGCAGCAAACATACCACAAGGTCTCGGACGAAAGAACATGTCCGGCTTTCTTTCGCTCTCGCTCGCTTCTTCTTCTTCGACACAATCAAACAACAAGGTGGTCAGGGCTAGCCAGATATATTTTTAAGGGCCATCTGTCCCTTTTTTCCAAATTTTGTTTTTTGTTTTTGGTGTGGTGGTTGGTTGGTCGTCGTCGTCGACAGGTGCACACCAAACACAAAAAAAATCACCACCATAGTTCATTTTCATTCATTTTTTCAGTTTTATTTTTCGTTAATGAAAAAAACTTTCCATTTTTATTATTATTATTCGAAACAAAACGAAAATTAATTTGAGATTTGATTTTTTCGATATTCACATCCTAAATGAATGTGTCACCACGTTATCGATTTTGGATGCCAATACACACAGTTGAGTGAATCGAGCCAAAAATGATAATTATTAAGACCTTGGACCTTGGCTAATGATGATCGTGACCTTAAACGACTACTGTACAGGTGCTTGTTTGTTTGTGCAGATATCGATATTATGAATATTATGGTCCCAATCATAGTAACAAAAAGACCTTGGATACTTTTACTGACTCAAATAAAATAAACCCAAAAATATTTCAGTGAAACAAAAAACATTTATTAATTATGGCACATAAGTGATTTCACGATATTTTAATTAAAGTGAACAAAAATAAATTCCATCAAATGAATGAAATAAAGTGTGATAAAAAGTATGCGTGATGCAAATGAAATGTAAAATTTGACTAAATAATTAATTTGTTATGTAAAAAACGAAACAAAATTTTTGTTTATTTGTTTGGTTTAGACTTGGTCAAGGGTACTCATCCATTGTTTTGTAAATCAAAATGATAACGTTATATGAATAAAAAGTAAATGGTGCAACAGGTTAATAGGTAATTATTATTTACAATTATTCAATGATAGTGATGTGATTGAGAAAAAAGAGACTAGCGAAAATGATTTTATTATTGATTATTGAATCAAACTTGAATGGGAACCATTGTGGATGATGGATTTGTTGATAATGATCGATGCAATGATCCATTACAACCATTATCTTCATGTTTTAATAACAATGACATACGTGAAAATGTACGCGAACATGATTTACAATGGTATTTTTTCACCACTGAATGTGTTTGCAAATGGGCACGTAAATTCGAACGATCAGCAAATGCACGATTACAGAATTGACATGCAAATGGCTTCTCTCCGGTATGAGTACGAATATGACCTATTCAAAGAAAATCAAAATGAATTTTCAGTTAGTTTGGTGAAATTCAGATAATTTTAATTCAAAAAATAGTTTACCTTGCAATAACCATGGACGTGAAAATGCTTTACCACAAAGTTTACATTTACATGGCAAGGTATGTGTACGGATATGCATTTTCAATGCACCCAATGATACATAAACTTTTTCACAATGTTTGCAGCTAAATGATTTTTTCACCTGACTTTGGCAAAGAAATTCTTGATGTTTAGCCAATCCACTTTGTGTTGAATAACTTTTTTGACAATCAGGACAATGATAACGATCAGCAGTGGATGAGGATTTTTTTCCACTATTCATCATTTTATTATTCGAATCCATCGAATCATCCAAGTCAATTTTGGAATCAAAATCGTCGGTTGAATGTATACTTTCCCGACCAGAATCATCGGCAGATGATGATCTTTGACTATTATTTGATGGGGATACGATTATCTGATTAACTGAAAAATGTTCACTCCAATTTATACTATATGGTGGCATTCGTTGATAATGATGATTATTATTTGTAACTGATAATTCTTCTTTATCATCCATTATTCTCGAACAATAATTTATTGGTTTTATCGATGTTATTGGTGATGATTTGTTGTTGTTCGCTTCAATAACGCTGTAATCGATAGCTTCAGTGATTCGATTGTTGTTGATTGGTGTTGTAACCAAAGGTACCGGTTGCTGATGGTTTGGTTTGTTGTTGGATGATTCATTGGAATTTGTACGTAAAAAATCGGCAATTTTAGCAAATTTGGCTGGATATGGATAGCTTGATACGAATGTTGACGAGGATGATGATGATGAATTTGATTCTTTTAATAAACTCTTGATACTTAAATCTAGACCTGAAATAATAAAAGATTGGATTGATTGATTAATGAATTATTGTATTGAATTAAAATTATCAAATTTGTTAGTTGAAATGAACATACCTTGATTTTCATTCAATGATGATGAATATTTATTAATTTTCTGTATTGTTGATTGATGATCAAAATGATTATTTTCCTGATCATTTCGGGGTGACATTGATAATTCTGTATGACTCATAGTGGATGATAATGAATTCGGGGATCCGATTCCGGATGAAGATGATGGTGAAAATAATTTGGGTGATATTGATCGATAGATCGGTCCATTCACCATTGTTGTTGTTGAAGATTTTTTCTTAAGTAAAAAGGCTTTAGGCATTTTGGTTGTTGGATGATGTTTGAACAATGTTCAAATTGTCATATGGATCGTTTGTGGTCAAAAAAATGAATGATCAACAGGGAAAGATCAACAGCTTGTTGAATGTTCGTGTTGTCGGTGTCAGATTTGCGAATGAAATGGACGGTACAAATGTTTGCTGAATTTATTGGTCCCTTGAGACACACATACTTATACTTTTATGCTATGTGAGTGCTACGTTACGCTACGCAAAGCTAGCGTAACACTCGCTCATAGCTTAATGATGTGCATAAGAGAGGTGTCTGCTTGATGGCCTTATTGCCTGCCCATTTATTACACAAATGTGTGTTTGGTGTTGGCTATGCAGATACACATCATATGTGTGTGTTTATGACCGCAGGTGTGTGTGATGTACATACATACATCGGATATATATGTAATCGGATGGGTGGGATCAGGGATGGTTCTTTTGAATTTTTACATTCACAACACCAATTGGCATATGGTTTCATTGATTCGAAAACATCAAATAAGTCTTGGAACATGATGATGTATTGTGACAGTGACTACCATCATGATAATCACTATTACGACTGGACCCTAAGGCTGTGAAAGAAAGAAAGAATGAATGAGTGAATGAATGAATGGTCCATAAACTTATATGGCTAGGTTTTGTTTTGTCTTGGTGTTCCGATTTGAAAAAAGTTTTTTTCTTTAAATAACTTTATTGACTGGACTACTGTGGAATAATGGAAATAAATTTTGGGGAACTTTACCAGTGTGTTGTTTTTTGTGTGTGATTTCAAATCTAACAACAAAATGATCTTCCTGTTGTTGTTGTTGAAAAATTAAAAGGCTAGGCTATGCTACACGTAAGAAAGAATGAAAAGGAAAAAATAAGAACAAAGGTCATAAGGGAACAGTTTTTTGGGTGATATTGAAAACACTTGTTGTTTTTTCGTTTCCTTTTTGTTGCTGTTGGATAACATGAGAAAATTGAAGAAAATTGATTACATCCGATCGATCAGCAATTTAATCCGAAAAGATTTTAATCGAATATCCTGAATATCCTCATCATCATGTTTGTCATAGGTCAAATTAAAGTCATCATCATCAACCGAAGATGATGCAAATGAATAAACATCAAATAAATGTCAAATGAAAATAATGATTGTTGTTTTTCCCCAATGATTGATTGATTGATCTATTTTTGCTCTGTTCAAAAAATAGAAAGGATTGTTTATTTTCCATAATAAAGGCAACGAGGAGGAAGATGTTTCAGAATTTCGCAATCACATTTCCATTTTGATTAGAATAACAATACACACTATTGATGTGATTGGGAAGTTAATAATGGATTGATGATGATGATGATCCATGGAGAAAATTATTCAACAAAAATACCTGAAATGACAAAATTCAATTCATATGGAAAATGGGCTTGAAAGGCTTCAATGAATGAAAATATTGCCATATAAAAAATAGCCATATGGGGATGCTTTTTTCAAACGAAAGTCAAATATGAATGAAATTTTCAAGCAAAAAAAATTAAATGCAAATTAACATTCACTCTCTCTGTGTGTTATGATGTTTTGAGTTAATGAAAAAGCCAAGAAGCCACATTCGATTGTTTGATCCTAAATCAAACAATGAATGATCATCATCATCCAAATATGAATAAGAATGGGCAATGACAAAAGGATAACCATCCATCGATCGATCTGTCGCTCGAAAGGATGAGATGCATTCAATCAAACAAAAAATTTCAAAATGTCAACAAAAGATCTGTTTTGTTTTGGCATAGGCAACATTAATATAAAGGTGACGAACAACGATGATGATGATGAGAATGACGGTTATATCTATCTATTCATACACGCAAAAGTTAGTCAAGTAGTTTTAGTTATTTTTGTTGTTGCTGAACATTCAAAAAGATAGAATGGGATCTGTATGGGATTTTTATTTATTTTGTTTGGTCTATAGTGTGTGACCTGACCTGATCGTCCTCCAGCTAAATGAATCAGTGTGTGACATTTAAAGTCGAATAAAGGTCATCATCATCATTGTTGACTAACCAAAGAAAAAATATGAATATCAATCAGGTACATAAACAATATTTTGGAACAAAAACATTTTCTTCAGTCAAGATCATCATCAATCGATCAATTCGATCAATTATGAATAGAAATTATTGTTGAAGAAGATTGAAGGTGACTTTGAAATCGAAGAGACAAAAATCTTGTGTGTGAAATTCATCATTTCATGGGTCCATTTTTAATGATGATCGTTAACCATAATATTCAAATTTAAGATGTGTCATTTTTATTTGCCATTGATTCAATTGAATGTAAGAAAATTTTCTTTGGAAAAAGAATCGACAATGTTTGTCGGTTTTAATGGTCGTTTTTACTTTCTCGGTTGTCATCATGATGGTGATGATGATGGTTGTAAGAAACAAATAATTCACCACCATTAAAACACCACGCAACCTGTCGCTTGTTTTCTATCTACCGATTTCTCATCTGAACAAAATCGGACATAAGACGTCGTTGAACGACAAAAGAAAATATCTCTCCTGCTGATCGTTAAAATTTCCATTTGAAGCACAATGACAAAAATATCATTCTCAAAACATGGTGCTACTGGGTGTTTTTCATTTTCGGGTTCGGTTCGGGTACAAATTTAAAAATGATTTTCAAACTCTCACACTGATCTCATTTTTGATTGTCTTTTCACCAAAAAAAATCTTTTGTGTTTTTCTTTCTTAAAAAAACTACCTTCACATAAAACACTTGCCTCGCAAAAAAACGAAATTCCAATGATGTCAGATGTGTGTCTCAGTAGTCACATTTTAGTTCATTTTCAAATGAAAAAATCTGTCACATGTAAACCTGCACACATACCTCTCAAACACACTGTTTGTTTTTTCAGTTGAAAAATTTTAAATTTCCACAAAAAAAGTTCAAAACACATAACGTAACCTTTCCCTCGAAATGTGTGCTACCTGATTTTTTTTGTTGAATATTTTATTTCAAGTGAAATATTTGCAATCGAATAACAATTGAATTTTTTTGTTAAAGATGAGGAGAAAGAAAACTTAAAACATAATATTATACAGGTTTATTTTAACCAAAAGATTACGATGTTTGAATAATGATCTGGATGGAATGTCATCAAATGTTGAAATTGAATCGGGTGAATCGATGTATGCATGATGATGATGATAACATTCCATCGCCAAGGAGAGAAAGAAAATAATGGCCCAGTTTTATTATTATAAGACAAATATTCAAAGTATGCACCTTATTAACATCATTGATAAAGAAACAAAACTGAAAAAATTCCATCATCATCATCGAACATGCATCCCCATCAATTTCTCATTGTTAATTCATCTTATGGAAAATGAAACGGTTTTCATTGTGATTTGGTGGAAATATTTTAAATATTTTTCTGGACCTTGATCTTTGGTTGGAACAAAACTGCAAACGAGAAAAATGAAAATAAAAAAGAGAAGAAAGTAAAAATCTATCTAGGCACTCTTGTTGATGAATAAATGTTGTAAATTAAAACAGTATTGCCAAATATGACCAACCCAAATCCGTTGCAGGTAAAAAAATATCATCATCAAATCATCACCAGTTTAAAGTTAATCTGATCATTTCCTGTTTTAGCCAATTTTCTCCCATCATCATCATGATTTTCCCCGAAAAGAACTGGCAAAATCGATCAAAGAAATAAAATGTTGTTGAAAATCATCTCAATTAGCGATGATGATGATTATAAAGTGATATAGTTTAGTTTAGCAGTAGTGCTGTGTGGTGTGTCATGTCATTGAGTGAGAGAAAATCACCATACGGTCTTTGGTCAAATCAAATCTTGTTAGTTTTTTTCTTTCCGATTTTTTTCGTTGCTTCAATAATGAACCTAATGCTATAGACACAGGAAGAATCCATCACGATATATGTCTTTTTTCGTGAATGATGATTGCAGTGTGGATGGTAATGATGATCATCAATGAACGATGAAAGAAGAACATTTATCCATTTAGGTTTGATTTTTTTTCTAGCAGACCCAAACAAACAAAGTTCCGGCGGTCATTGATTGTATTGTGTATTTATGATGACCCAATAATCAATTGGTTTGATGTTACCGGATGAAACAAGTTCAGTTGTTGTTATTTATTGACTAACTAGCTAAGATTTCCAGGTAAGGTGCACACGAAAAACGAAGAAAAGACCACATTATATTGATTGTATGGTGGGTTTGCTTCGGTCATTGGCCAAAATAAGCTAAGCGGCGGAACAAAAAATCGGAAAGAAACTTTTTCTCTACTTTGCTTTTTTTCATGGACAAAGATAAACTCTTGTATAAATCACAAAGAAACTTTTGACCAAACAAAACTTACAACAAGGAGATATATTGGAAATTTCGTCCACTTTTTCCAATTTGGTCGGATGATGATCGGTGATCGACAATATGTCTCAAATGGTACAAACAAACAAAAAATTTGTCGGTCGATTGAATCAATCTATCGATTATCATCGACGGTAACCTGTAAGTCGTTTCTTGCAATGAAAAAAAATTAATTCAGGTTCAAAATATGTCAAAAAAGAATTGTGTTTAACAAAAAAGAAAAAAAGGTTCGGTCGATCTCGGCTAAACTAAGGAAACGATTGGCTATCTTTAGCTTTAGATTTTTAGATTTTCCAATGAAAAAAATTTCATTGTTCAAAAAATATCAAAAAAGCAAAAAAGGACCCAGCTTTGGAAAATGTCTCCAAGAAATAAAAATATATAGCAGGCAGACACACCTGCTCAACAATAATTTTTTATTTATCGGGATCAGAGTCTCTTTCTTCATCTCAATCATCATATGTTCCAACAAATAATGTTGAGACAGTGTTGAGATTTCTCAATTCTTTTTTCTTAAACTTTTTAAGGTTTCGGGCTATTGTTGTTGTTGTTTGTTGATGATCTTACCTGCCTGCTTGATTTACCTTTTTTTCACACACACACAAACAACAACCAAGCCAAGCAAACATTGAATAAAGAGAGAAAATGTATGACCTGTATAGACGACCGGATCCATTTCCCTTTCTTTCTTTTCCATATCTAACTTTGCAAGCAACTTGTCAATTGAACAAGTTGCAGATTTCATTATAAATCAATATTCGGTCATTCGGCAAGCAGGGTTGAAGGACGAATATATTTAGTGAATGATAAAAGAAGGAGAAGGAAAAAAATCAATCATTTTGTTTGATCTAGTTTCACAAGTGAATTTTCTTCAATTCACAAATTC